GTCTAATTTCGAGAGCGAATACGGTTTCTTTTGTTTTTCACTCAAGAGAACTTACCACAAGTAATCAAACGAATGGTGACAGTGATAAATAACATAAAAACTTTCTCAACCCTGATTCGAGCAATTTTTAAAAAGTTTTAAAAGTTCGTCAGTGTTGAGAAAAAGTGCTTAAAATATTTGAGTTTTAGTTTAATATCGAGCGAGTAAGCTTTTTATATAAGGATAATTGATGAAATTTTTGTTTTGTTTGTTAAAAACACTGTTAAAAATTTTTATTGCGGTCTTGGGAATAAAAATTCAAAAAAGTGTCTGCCAAAAACATTGAAAAAATTCATGAATTATTTGACTAGATAATGCCAAATTTGCCTGCTTTGATGTGATGGTCGAATATGTGTAAGTTCAGGGCTTTCGTCAGATCCTTTTATTTCACCATGCTTAAAAACTACTCTAATTTGAAAACAAAATTTATCTAATTTGGTCGGAACATGCTGTGCTACTTTCACAACAACCGGCTATAATTAACGCTAAATGGATCAATTTTATGAAAAAAAATGGTTAATCATACAGGTGTCTAAACTTGGAAAAAGTTCAACGTTTTTTTCCAAAACATGAAATTTGAAACATGCTCAAAAAATGATTGATAAATTTTAATTGTTTGCTTGAGTGCATTGACAACTTGAAAGTTTCCGCCGGCTTTTCTCATATATCTGAGGGAATTATATCTTTCTCATATATCCATCATATATCTGAGGGAATTAGACAGCCAATTTGATCCTGAACATTTTCGGTACAATATAGGCTTTTCTTTAAGAAAAAATTAATGGAAAGTTTCAGGGCGCATTTCGGATTTTGACCTGCTAATTTATTTTGATGTTAATAATTTTAAACGAGGTTTAACAAAAAAAAATTGCATGATTTTGCTGTCACAACTGTTTAAGAAAGCTAAAATTATGCATAAAAGTTAATTAACAATTGCCCAAATTGTTAAGAAAATTGTTTAATGTTACCCTTTCCCTTTTAACATCCCTATGACGCAATCAGAACAACCCCCCCGCGGACGCAGTTTACCCCGAACTGAAGAAGCTCCTCAGCATCATCCTTGGGGTGGGGGCGGCAATACTGGCCTGTATTGTGCTTCTGCTCATTCTGTTGATTTGTGCCGCTTGTTCTGTCATCAAAAATGGCGCCAAAGACGACAAGTGGGGAAAGAAGTACAACGAGGGCTCCAGTTCCAAGAGCGAAGGGAAAAAAGTGTCGGCATAGTTTTTACCTATGATCAAAAATGGTCTTATTGCTTCTAAAACCAAACACAGACATTTGCGAATGGTTTTTAAGACACCGACATAGAAAATTGAAAGAATTTGAACGGCGAAAAAAAAAACATTTTTGAAAAATTTAGCTTGAAATCAGTTTCAATCCAGATTTAACTTTTCCTGATCAAGTAAAAAAGCTTAGCCAGCATAGGTATTTTAAAAAATCACATGCAAATTGTTGCATCATCAATCATCACTCATCTCTTTCAAAAAGGACTTTTCTGCATCTGTTTGGCAATCAAAATCTTTTAATTGAATATATTTTAAATTTGTTACAATATTGACGGAGTTTTGAAAAATACACGTAGCTTTTGAACAAGGCTGACTCGACCTTGCGATGATTTAAAAATTATAGAATTCTTCATTTATTCAACGTGTATAGTTTATTCTGTGTTAACCTAACAAAGAAGTTCACGTGTCAAGTTTTAACCCAGAAAACCAACTATCTGAAAAAAATCAATAACTGAATTGATTCTAGTTATCATTCGAATTAAGTATAACGGATTTATAGCAATCAGAGACATTTTGATGTCAATTTGCGAAGAAAAAATGGGTTAAAACTAATTGTACACACATAAATGATTACGCTGACCCCAAACTAACAATCAAATAAAAACAATTAATTAAATTGAAACCAGTCGAACAATCAAACTATCCCAAGCATCAAATGGCTTCTATCGGCCACGTGATTTGTAAATTCAGCGAGCTAATTCAGTTTTGAAAAACATCATCCTTCTCGTCCTTCAGCTAAGTGTAAAATCTTCCACTCACACACATTGATAAGTGCAAAGTGATTATTGCTCGAACAATTTTTTTGCCTAACTTAGCTTTTGCGTAATATATACAGCCCCAAGCCAGTTATTTTTGCTGCTTACGTTACGCAGTGATAGAAAACTAATAAAAAAGCCCTTTATTAATCTTAAATTGGCTGAATTAGTTTTATAGAAACTCGCGTAACTTCTCAAAAAAGGCTGCAGGTCAAATAATTTTAACTATTTATTAGAATAGAAAAAAGATACTTAAGACGTCGAAAAATGTATTAAAAACCAGCCAGTACAGAATATTCTGTTTTCGTAAACTCAGACAAGAGATAGATTGTCATGTTCTTAAAAAATTGCCTCTATAAATTTTTTTTGGTGATTTTTTTAAATGGTGTCTACTAGAAATCGGAGTCACAGTAAAGCAATTGAAAATTTTATCACTCCTTTCAAAAAATCTAAGCTCAGTCTGTTTTGAATTCAAAAAGGCTCCTTGATATTGTTTTTTTGGTTTGAACTAAATCACATCTCAATTCCGTACTTGTTAATTGACGAAATATTCAGATGAGAGGTTTTGCTGAAAGTAAAAATTAAGACAAAAATAACGCGCTGTGATTATAAAAAAAATGTTGTTAAGTTTTTCAAATTTTTCCTGAATATCATTGGAAAGTAACTTGCATAAATTACGGAAGTTCTAAAATTTCAAAAACAAAAGCAAAAACGAGACTAAAAACTTTGCATTTGACACTTGAGCATGGACGTAACTTTTTCAACTATTTTTAATTGAAAAAAAATTCAGCTAGTCCTACCAAACAACTGCAAAAAAACACCGCGCCAAATCTAAAGTAGGAGAAAAAAAGTGTGTGTATAAAAAATCATGAAAAAGAGAAGGGAGATTATAGAAAACTCCGACCACATCAAAAAAAAAATTAAAGATATCGTTTTTTGAGTTGTAATGAGAGGAAATAAGGAGAAGCCTATAATATTAGTAATTTAGTCATATTTAACCAAATTTTTTTTCAGGAAATGAAAAAAATCGTATATATATATACATCTGTTACCAAAGAAGATGGCCAAAAACGCCACGTTAGGAAGCTGAATTATATAATGTGTACACCAAAAAGTTATAGCGGTTTTTAACAATGATTATTATTTTCTTAAAACCATTTCACATTTTAAATATTGATTTATTGAAGTCTGAAAGGACGTTTTTATGATATTTTGGTTGAGTCATTCTGAACAATGTTTGAACAATTAACTTTTAGTTTTTTAACAAAAAAGTGTAAAAAACTAAAACACACCCGAGGAGAAATTTCCTCTCCACTTTCAGTGATCGGAAGAAAAACTCATAGTAAATAGGTTCATTCAATCGAAGGACGTTGCTGTTTATTTAATCTTTATGTATTTATCTCTAATATGGGTTTTTGCATATCGAATCTGTTTCCAAATATGATTTTGTGGAGTGATTTCAAAGGTTGCAAATCTCAAATTAATTTTTGAATAAAAATTAAGATTTAATTTTAATCAGTTTTTGCAAATGAAAAATACAAGCTATGGCAGCTTCTGTTTTTATTTGGAAAAGCTCAAGTTTTTTTACTTATTTTTAAATTGGTTTGATTGGTTTGTTTCAAGCAAAATATTAGAGAACATTTTGACAATTAATCATTGAGTTGTCTAATATAATTTTTTTAAGCTTGTGTGATAATTTTCTGTTGGAGCATAACTAATGCCAGTGATTTTTGTCTACTCTGCTTTTGTTGACCACTGCCCTGTTTACATTACACTTTTTGGTTTTTCTCAACTAATTTTTGGTTTAGTAAGGTTACCTTGGATTTTTATTTGGGTATTAAATTGATACAAATGTAATGCTCCAGTTTCCAAAAAAGCTGATATAGTTTTTTTTCTGACGATGTTGTATATATCTAAAATCTGGTTTCATTTTAACTTTTTGAAGTAGATAAGGATTTTTATATACGTCTGCCGATATTTTTTAAATAGTAATATTTTTATTGTAAATATGCTTAAAAACTTTTTTACATGCCACAATTAACATCAATGCATGTAAACAAGAAATCTCTGCACTGAACATTATGAAGAACCTGTATGTCATTAATCTTTTTTACAATCAATGTTCAGACAGATATCGTGGCAAATTAAAACCACGTAATAGAGCCACTATACTCAATTTCTCGTATCAAACTTTTCATTAAAACTCTTTTGTTCACCCTAACCCGAAATGTGTTCTGTTTTGTTTGTTTGTGTCTTAATATCAACCCGGGGCAGATTTAGGGGAGGGGAGTGTGGACGCCCCTTTCCATCAGGTATTTGACCCTTTCACCAACCAAAGGGTCCCCCATTATTACGTGATTTTATTACATCCATTTTCGGCCAATCGACCCTAAAACTTTTCTAAAGACGCCCATATATGGTAATTTTGAGGGGGAGCGCGCACCAAAAAAACGCAATATTTCGAACAAAACTTTCCGAAAAACCTAAACACGGCTTTTTTACCAGTTTTTTTTAATTTGCCGGCGGCGCAAATTTTCTAGTCAAAATAGGGTCTTTAGAGTGGTCTGGGAAAGCTCAGTAAATCAATTTGGTCAACCTAAAAAAAGTTGACCGAATTTTCAACATTTTTTGAAACCCCCCCCTCGAAAAAATTCTAGATCCGCACCTGATTTCAACTCTTTCATGGTTTCGGATCGTCCAATATAATGCATGGCAGTAGAAATCCAGATTGTGCTGCGAACAAACAATTATCAAGACATGTATGTAAACAAGGTCTTATGAATTCCACAGATAGCACTGAGAACCTAAAACTTTTCATCATGAAAATCACTGGAAAAACCCAAAGTACCACGATAACTACAGTTCGATCGTAACCAGTTTTTCTTATCGTCGTTTTTTTATTATCTGTGAAAAACTAAAGTTATATTACCATTGCATTAACGTATATTCATAGTAAAAACATTAAACGAGTAACTCATTTTCACTATTTCTAGCATTCTCAAACTAAACAGGTCAAATCAATAAAGTCTAGGCGCGTGCAGTATTGCATTATTCTACTGAACATCAAAATATCTATCCAAAATAGTTGGAATTTTGTTAATTTTTCAAATGTTTGAAAGTGATCAGTCAAAAAATTGGTTTAGCCAGTGGATGACTTGTGGTCTGGCGTATTTGCTCCATTGCACGTTATTTTCCACTCGTTCAATTAGCCGATAGAACTCGGCCTGTCCAGCTCCTAATTTGTCAAAGTGAGTCTCGTTGAATTTTTTCATGCTCTGCAGTGCATACTCCGAATCCTGATAAAAACAGAATTTTCATTGAATTTTTATCGTTTTAATTTTCTTAGCTATAGTCGTTACCTTTTGTTTCAGAAAAAAAAACTTGTGCTCTTTTGTCAAACAAAATTTGGTTTAATTGCTAAAAAAAAAGTACCAGTTTACGTTTATAGTGCAGAAAGGGTCTGATGTAGAGTTCTGTTGAAAAAGATATACAGTGCTGACTTAAATTATTCTGAGAACAAACGAATAAAATTTAAAATTTCATACACGGTTTTCTCAAATTGTTTTGATTTAAGACAAAAACTGATGAAGAAAAAACTTGATATCAATTTTGACAGAAATAATATGATGCAATTTATTTTGCAAAACTCGGGCCCATAATTTATGACCAAAAACGAACCATTTTTGGACTTTTCAGTCAATCAAAAATTACGCCAGAACTACGGCATTGACTGCTAACAAAATTACTTTAAACATGTATTGCTAGTTACTGTGCAAGTAGCACAGAATGTTCCAACCATAGTCTAAGAAGAAATAAAATATCCAAATTATAGCCGTTTTCTCTGCGTGGTATGCTAAAAGAATCTGATCATGAAACTAGAGCTTGGGTTGGGCATATTCGACAATCCTAGTGAAATTAGCAAATTTGAAAAAAAATTTGAAGAAAAATAAGTAGAAAGACGAAAATTTTCAAAATGTTCTAAAAGTTTTCGAAGTTTTTTTTGCAGTTTTTTTTCGACTCTTTGATGTTTTTGTTTCCAGAAAGGCGTTAAAAACTAAAAAAGAAAAAAAAATTCGCAGAGTAAAACCGCTTTAATAAACCGCTTTAGTAAAACCGTTTTTACCGCTTTAATTAAGCAATTGTAAGCTTTTAAGCTTTTAAAATAAACTATTGTAAGCCTGCTCGCTCACTCGAAATTAGACGAAAAATCAAATTTTTTTAACCAATTTTTTCAACACAGGGAAAACTTTTTGAAAACTTTCGTCTTGTCATTAAAATTGTTTAGTCTTTAATGAAAGGGCTTAAAAATGATATATCACTCAAATCTCTCCGATGATTATATGTGCAAGCTGATTTTGCGTGGGAAACAAAAAAAAATAAAAGACACCCGAATACAAAATTTCTCCCCGCTTTTTAAATGGTCGGAACAATAAGCCTCTGATGTAGCCCAAAAAATTAATCTCTTAAAATTTGAACAGAAGTTTTGAAATTTGTTTTCAAATCAGAAATTGGTATTTTATGAAGAAAAAAGTATTATTTTTTGGCTATTAGGCAAAAATAATAATTTATTTATACCAAACTTGGAAGATTATAACTTTTTTCTTTTTGGGCTATATAATAGGCTCATAATGATACAGTTTTGTTAGCAATTGATCCGGTAGGTTTGGCGTAATTTTTGCCTGACGAAAAAGACGAAAAATGATCCGCTTTTGTTGTAAAAATTTCGGCCCGAAATTTGTCAAAAAGTTATATAGAAATATATATGCTTTTATTCTAATTAGGTTTCATCTTCATTTTTCGTCTGAAGTCAACCCAATTTGAGAAAAACGCGATAAATAAAATCCCATCCTATAAATAATAACAAAAAGGGGGTATGACTAGGTTTCCTGCGGTGCCCACCTGCAATTTTTGCATGCTTCGGTCCTTTCTCTTGATAATAATTTGTCCCAAAAATAGATTACCACTCATGATAACATCTCTCGACGGGCTTTTTTGGAGTTTTTTCAAAGTAGAAGCATTTAACTTAACTAAATTTAACTTCGCGCTGAAATAACAATATAAAGGCCAGAAAGAAAACTAATAATTATGAAAAAATTCTCGTAAAATTAAATTTGGTCATTCAATTCAAGTTTCTTCTAATGTAGTCTGCAAATGGAAAACAACCAAACCAACTTTTCTAAGCATTAAGACATGCGTTTTTGAAAAAAAATTGCTTACGAATCGAGTATAAACCATACAAGTTTTCTTTAAGGAGCCTAAATTGAGACACCAAATTCCTTGAGGTACCTTGTGACTTATTTAAACAGGGATGGCTGCTTGCCTTGCAAGAAGGACAATATGTTCCGACCACTGTGGTGATTTAATTAAGCCATTTAAAAATAAGAAAGATGATTTTTCTATGTTGTTAGAAAACAATTTTTTATCAACATTTTTCTGTTTTTTGGTGTTTTCTCTACGCCATGGGAGTGGGGTAAATAAGGTAAAAAGAGTCAAATACAATACAGTTTGAAAAAAAAACAGTCGCAATTAATAATTGTTTTAATAACCGGTAGGTCGAGAGTCTTTTCTAACAACATAATCAACAAAATAGTGACAACTGAAGTTGAGCCAACGTGTTGCGAGCTTTCCTACAGAAGATACGAAATTTTAGGAAAATTAGAGCCGGCTATATCCGTCAAGTTGTGACCTTAAATCGGTACCGGACTGTTTTTTGGTCATTTCATGATTTTTTGGCCTGTTCTGTATTGGACAGTTTTTTGTATATACATCCAAATCAAGCCCGATAGAGTTTTGATATGATACCCTCTTGAGCTTTCATATTGAGGTGGTCAAAATTGTGCAAAAAAACACAGGTTGAGGCCATAGTTCCTTCCCGCCCCTTTAGTGGTCGGAACAAAAACATATGGTCAAAAATTGAGTCACCTGACCAGAGTAGACCGCAAAGAGAATGTTCTTGAAGAAGAAGGTGAAGTCTTTGAATCTGTAGCCGAACTTGTCAAACTTCTCTGGAATTGAGAAGTAGTTCCACACTACATTGAAGCCCGCATTGGTGCCCTTGCCCGCCCCTGTTATGATCAAGTAGCCCAACTCGTCGTTTTTCCACTGGGTCCCGTCTGGAACGTTGATGTCCTGTAAAAAATCGCTTAATGTTAATAATTAAAACAAACCGTTTAAAAATAATTGTTGTATTCATTATCAAATCAAGAGCATTAACAAACAATATGAAATCAGTGCGCTAAAGCACTCTGGATTTTCCAACAAAGCGATTAATGAAATAAAGTAGGATGCAATCTTGAAATTATTTATTGTTAAAGTTATAGAAATTTTAACAAATAATAATTTAAGATTGCGTCATACTTTATTTCATTAAGCAGTTTTCTTAGCTTTTCAAGAAAGTTTAAGACAATTTTTATTAAAGCCTAGGAAAACTTTTATTGTTTTTGGGCTGAGACTTTTCAGCCTTTGATTGACACAGGAGATTTTCTGCGCAAGATCTGAAACTCTTTATTTGATATCAGATAAGAACTTGAAAATTTCAGATCTGAAATTTGGATCTGAAAAAGAAAATTTTAGGTCTGAAATAAGCTTGAAAAACTAAATTTCAGATCTGAAATTAGAAATGAGAAACCCTTTTTTAAATTATATTCTATGCATTTCGAGCAAACAATTGAGTATTTGTTTTTTGGATGTTTCTGCAATACACAATTTTGTTAAGTTTAACTAGCGGTTAAAATTTCCGAGTAATTTAGAAAAAATAATTAAGAAAAAGTTTTCGAATAAGTTCACAAACCGTTTTTTTTAACTATATTTCTTTTCAACTGTGATAAAAGTTTTCAAAAACTGTTAGAGGACCTGTCAATTTTTTGACTTTTATGCGCTACTTATACGTTTCCAATGTTAATCTCATGCTTGGGGAAACATATTTTGGCAGTTTCCCATTGGAGACTTTGCTGAGTAGCTGCTAGTAGCTAGCAGAAGCTATCAAGTACAAAAGTATCAAAAGTAGCAAAAATTGTGTCAAAATTATCAATTTTTCACGTCTGAAATGACCAGGAACAAAAATTTCAGATGTGAAATTAAATTTGAAATCAATTTTTTCAGATTTGAAATAACCATGAAAAAAAATTTCAGATCTGAAATTAAATCTGAAATCGATATTTTCAGATCTGAAATAACCATGAGAAACAAAATTTCAGATCTGAAAATTGATTTGAGATAACCCATACCTAAAGTGTCCAAGCGTTATTTTAACGTTTCACAACCCATTCCATATCTGAAACTTAGTTCTGAAAAAAATTATTTAGATCTGAATTAGAACATTTACTAGGTACGGGCAGTTTTGGGGTAACTAATTTTAACTATATTTGTTTACGCAAACAAATATTACCAACATTTTGGCTTTCTCTGTCAAGCTGTTTTTCAATATTCAAAGTCAAGCAAATCGTTCATTTAGTTCTAGCCATTGCTTAAGAATCTGAAAATGGGTCGATTGGACCTTGACCTAAGCAAATCTCTTATGTAGAGTAGAGCAAGTTTCGCTAGCCATTGTCCGGTATCCGCAATAAAATATCTCAAACATGCAGAAACAAAATAAAACGTTGTGTCCATAGAAATTTTTGCGTCATGTTTAAAAAAACAGGTGGTCCTAAAAGGAGCTAATTTTTGTAGTCTAAAATCTTGATGCCATAGTCTTTTTTGTCACCCTTAAATAAATCTGGTCTTCATATTTTTCAACAACACTCTGAGATAAAATTTGAAATTATATATCATATTAAAGCCTTTTCATAACATATCATAATGAAATCTTGCATATTCGTAGCTAAAACTTTTAAAAATTTCAGCTTTTTTTAAAAAAGGATTTTTACATCAAGTTGAGCAGTTATGGGGTAACTAAATTCAATTAGATTTGCTGCAGTGTTAAAGAACGTAGGTTTAGATTGATAAAATTACAGGCAAGGGGATGGTTTGAGGAACCTTTTTAACTTTAATTAATTAATTAAAACATTAATTAATTTTAACAATTTGTATTAGGAGAGCAAAATTAGAGAACGACAAATTTTAGAGAATTGCGTTAAAACGTGTAGTTGTTTCTCCAATTTAATTTGAAAAATAAACAACAAACTATTCGGCCAATTTTTGCAAAAAGATATCAAAAGTAAACCATTTAGAATTAGCATATTCGTAGCTAAAACCCATTCCACAACCCATTCCATATCTGAAACTTAGGTCTGAAAAATATTATTTAGATCTGAATTAGAACATTTACTAGGTTCGGGCAGTTTTGGGGTAACTAATTTTAACTATATTTGTTTACGCAAACAAATATTACCAACATTTTGGCGTTCTCTGCCAAGCTGTTTTTCAATATTCAAAGTCAAGCAAATCGTTCATTTAGATCTAGCCATTGCTTAAGAATCTGATAATGGGTCGATTGGACCTTGACCTAAACAAATCTCTTATGTAGAGTAGAACAAGTTTCGTTAGCCATTGTCCGGTATCCGCAATACAATATCTCAAACATGCAGAAACAAAATAAAACGTTGTGTCCATAGAAATTTTTGCGTCATGTTTAAAAAAACAGGTGGTCCTAAAAGGAGCTAATTTTTGTAGTCTAAAATCTTGATGCCATAGCCTTTTTTGTCACACTTAAATAAATCTGGTCTTCATATTTTTCAACAACACTCTGAGATAAACTTTGAAATTATATATCATATTAAAGCCTTTTCATAACATATCATGATGAAATCTTGCATATTCGTATCTAAAACTTTTAAAATTTTCAGCTTTTTTTAAAAAGGATTTTTACATCAAGTTGAGCAGTTATGGGGTAACTAATTTCAATTAGATTTGCTAACGCAAACACTTATTACCAACATTTTAAAGAGTTCACTATGAACCTTTTTTTTCAACATTCAATGTCAAGTAAATCGTTCATTTAAGCAAATTTTTTATGAAGGATGGATTTTATCCTTATTTTAGAGTAGATCGAACTTCGTTATTGATTTTCGGTATCCGCTATACAATGACTTATGCATGCAGAAACGAAAAAAAATAAAACGCTGTGTCCACAGAGTTTTTGGCGTTACGTTTAAGAGTGCTAAAAGGAGTTAGTTACAAGAGTCTAAAAATTTGATGCGATACTCTTAAAATGAGCCTTCATTGTCTCAAAACAGGTTCCTATAGTCTGAAAATGGATTGATATAGAGTTAAAACGAATTGCGGTAACTTGAGAGTAATCGATGATGGTATGCATGGATGCCCTAGCATTGTTACAATGCAAAAATTAGTTTGCAAAAATTTTGCTAACGAAAGCAAAACTTGCAAAATATGCAAAATTCATCTCCATTCTGAAAATTGAATTTTCTCGTTTATTATCTTCGAGCTGAAATTTCACTATGCAGTCCTGAAATCTGACTTAATGGGGATGTGTATCGAATCTAGTTTTTTTGCGCGTTTTTTTTCAGACTGTATCTTTTGCAACTATCTTGCAAGATTTGCATTCCCTTGATTTTGTAAAAGTCTTGTAAGCAAAACATAAGTTTTTTTAGAAAAAATTGAAAAGTACTCAATGCGAAAAAAAAAATTTTCCAACATAATTGCATTCTCTTGATAAAAATTTTTTGATAATTTTCAATACAGGCATTCTAAGCAAACGTCTTTGAGCGTGCAAATTTTAGATTCAAAGTTCGAATAAAAAATTTAAAAACTGTTGTCAGAGAAAAATCAAAGGAGCTTATAAAAACCCAGAAAAAACTAGTTCCTAGAAAATTTTTTGAATGAAATGAGTTACATTATTTTCTCGCAAGGGTAAAAATTACTGATAATACAAAAACAAGTCAGAAAAAAGACAACTAAAAAAGCATATGGGATTCGAGCCACCGAACACCGATTTTCAGACTGGTAGTCACTTGCATTCTCAGACTGAGAGTCACGTAGGTTTAGATTGATAAAATTACAGGCAAGGGGATGGTTTGAGGAACCTTTTTAACTTCCATGAAAACATTAATTATTTTTAACAATTTGTATTAGGAGAGCTCAATTAGAGAACGAGAAACTTTAGAGAATTGCGTTAAAGCGTGTAGTTGTTTCTACAATTTCATTTGAAAAATAAACAACAAACTATTCGGCCAATTTTTGCAAATAGATATCAAAAGTAACCCATTTAGAATTAGTATCCCTGCAATTTTTAAAAATTAAAAAAAAAGATTTTGCTATTTGCAAAATCAACCAAAAAAAACAACACAGAAAGCTTAAAAACAGAGGCAAAACAGAGCTTTGCACCATTTGCGACACAAACTTAAACTTGGAAATTCAAAAAACCCATTTAGAATTAGTATCCCTGAAACGTTAAAAATTGACAGAGAGAAAATTTGGCTGTTTGCAAAATCAACCGAAAAAACAACACAGAGAGCTTAAAAACAGAAGCAAAACAGAGCTTCGCACCATTTGCGACGCAAACTTAATTTGGAAATTCAAAAAATATTTTATCTAATGCGGAAATTGAAGTAATTAAATGAATTTTGTGAAAAAATTGTCAACTGAAAAGTTATTTTTGCAATTAATTTTTTAAAAAACAACATCCATTTAAGATATAAGAAGGATTCATGCTCCACAGTTGATTTACATTCATTTTTTTCTCATAACTAACAGATGAAAAAAAGAATAAAAAGAAAACTTTGCAAAAACTTGTAAAAGAAAATCTACGGCATGACCATATCAAAAATACTATCGAAGTTTGCTATACAATAAAACCAAAACGAAAAAACTAAAATTAATTATAAACTAAAAATTAGGAAAGTTTGAGTACGAAATTTAAAATTAATTGCCACAGAAAGTAATTTCAAAAAAATCTATGAAAACTCTGAAATAACATTATTAACCTAGAGATCAAAATCACCATAATACAAAAACAAGTCGGAAAAGAAAAAAAACTTTATAAAAAAGTGATTCGAGCTACTTATTTTCCGATTGGTTTTCATTTGCATTCACCTCTCACCCAACTCGCTATTTTTTTCGTTATCGCAAAAATCAACAAAACTGCTCGTATTGGGGCAAAACCTTAAATGTTCCGACTGATTTTTGAGGTCTATGGAGCAGCAAAAACTTGTAAAAATTAAATGTATATAATTTGTATTTTTTTAATTCGAGAATTTTTGTATAAGTCATCCCTGCACACGTCTTATAGGACGGGCTTTATAGTACCAAAAGATTTGTAGAACGGATTAAATATCCGCTTTACGCATTAATAGCACGAAATATATCGCGCGTTAATTGTCCCAACTTGGCCAAAATAACTATCTTTTATTCCCCATTAGCTCATAATTTTATAAAAAACGATGAAACGTAAAATATATATATATCTTCAAATTTAAGCTTAGGACAACAATAACTTTTGAAAATTCCGTCAAAAATGGCTAAAAAATCGAAATTTGTCTGAAGAAAAAAACCACCCCGAGCACAAATTTTCCGTAAATTATGTCACGAAAGTCGGAACAATCAAATACCCATGAAATATGGATAAGTTTTTGGATATAATTTTTCAACTCCAGCGGTGTCTAACGTGTCTATTGCCACTCCGTACTGCGGAAAAAAAAGAGAAACTTGAAGCCGATTTGAAAGCCCTGAATGTTCCGACTGCCCCTTAATGCATATCGAATAGTTTTTGGGAAAACAAAATATTGAAAAACTAAGAAATTTGGACAATATCAAAGATCACGTGTGAAAATTTTAGTCAAAAATTAATACGACCGATCAGCTCAGCCAGCCTCAATTCAAATATGAACGGTTTAGTTGTACGGGATAATTTGCTGCGCATAAATAATTCGCATTACGCTTTCAAAATTATGAATAAAATCTTCAAAACGAGCATAAATTAGTCCAGAGCATGGCTAAATTGGCAGTTTTCAAACTCCCAGAACTTTGCAAAAAAAACAATCGGAGTTAAAATATCTTTTTATATTTGATTTCATGTAGTCAATATCTTCAATGGGGAATACAATTTTCTTGTCAAAAACTATTATTTGGATCACCGAAAATTGACTGAAAAAAAACACACCAAGCATAAATATTCCGTTTTCTTCGAAAGTCGGAACAACAGAAAACAAAGAATGCGCTTTTATTGAATTTGAGTACTAGAAAAACATACTGAAATTAGACAAATAATTTGAAAACCAAAATTTGCGGCTGACATTGATAAAAGTGGACCTTCACTATTACACAGACGTTTTGTTTATAAGACTCAGTTGGAGTTTTTTAGATTCACGTACATTGAATATCTAGAAGCGATATCAGCCTGAGTGATTTTGTATCAGTCTTAAGCTCAAAAAGACGGCAATTTGTCTCTATAAACAGAATTTCAATCACTTGATTTTTGAGTAATTTCGCAATTTCGAAATTTCGTTAATATTAGAAGCCAATACCCTGTGTAGTCATGAATCGAAGCTTTGTTGTACTTTTATAATTTCAGCAAACTCTGTTTGCGGTCGTCGCTGTTCAGTTGGAGCTTCGACAGGTCGGGAGGATAAAAATACCTTTAGCCTCATAGTTTTTTTGATACAGAGGCTTATTGTACGCCAGCAGTTAAAAGCCTGCAATAAATTGCTTAAATGCCTGCAAAAAGTTGCTTGAATGCTTGCAAAAAGTTGCCGCATCTGCTTATCAGCTTGCATGCTAAATGGCCAATACCCGAGTTTTCTTCCCTTTGCTTCTATATCCGCTTTAACTCAATTTTAAAAAGGTAGTCAACTGAGTGAGACAACATGCAAAGTTATGAGTATTGTCTGCACTTATGAGCGGGGCCAAAAAAAATTGACCAAAGACGTCAGCTTAGACATAATTTTTTTGACGGCAGTTTTGTGAAAATTTTGTATGAATAGGGTCTTTGCGGTGTGTTCGGAGAGCTCGCTTAATCAATTTAGCGGACCTAACTAAAAGTCAAGAAAACTTATCAAACATTTTTAAAAATCCCAAAGGGAAGGACTATTCAGCCTATGAATGTGCTCGCGTGCTCATGGTGGTGATTTTTTCTGTTTTCTTCGGACCAATTTCCATTCCATGTTCGCGGAGAGCTCGGAAAATCAATTTGCTCAAACTAACAAAAAATTCGACAAAACTTCAAACAATTTTTGAAAACCCGCGAGAAAATCCTATATCCGCCCCTGGCCACACTCTTTCTCTTTTTATTCATTTTCTAAAAAACTTTTGTTTAGACTTTAAAAATATATTTTTTATATTATTATACATAATTTATTATTTTATTTATAATTATTATAACTATTAATTTTATTATATTCTCACTCACCCCAATTGCCTGATCGAGGATGTGATTGAACAAGGTGGCGTCATTGGTACAAGCGAAGCCCCTGATGAGTCGACTTCTCAGCTGAGGGTTCACTTGTCCACTGAGAAACAGCTGGTGCAATAGATGGGAGAAGTCAGTGCTCTTTGCCTTGGCTGCCGCACACAGTTGGTAGTCGTGGATGTCTACGTGGAACCCGAACCCACTTCCCATCACCCTCTCCGATGATTCGTTCAGGGCTCCCACTGAAAAATAAACTTTAGATTTAGATAATACTTCTGTTTTTGTTTCCAATAACTTCGTAACATGGAGCCTAAAGTATCAATGAAAATAATTACAAAAAAGATAGAATACTTCAAAAAAAAATATTCTGAAAGCTTCAGAAAACAATGGCTGGCAAATACTAAACTAGGGTTTGCTGCACAAGGCCGATCTAGAGTTTTCCCCAGGGAGGATTTTCAAAAAAATGGCTCAAACTTTTTTAGTTCAAACTAATCGGTTTCCCGAGCGCTCCGAAATCACCATTGACCCTCGCACTATTTTGACAAATATTTCTGCGCTACATGCAAATTGTTTAAAATAAGTTTTTGGTCCCTTTTTGGAAAGTTTTGGCCAAAAAGTTGCATTTTTGGTGGTTCCTCAAAGTTAATATATATAGGCGCCTGGGTTCGGTCGGTCAGAAAGTTGCTTGGGTTCGGTCGGTCAGAAATGGATGTCATAAAAAAGTACCTAAAGAGGGACATTTTGGGTGGTGAAGATGTCAAATCACCCTTATTCCCCTCCTGGTACTATAAATTACTAGAAAATCCGAGCTGCAAAACTAGTCATCTAAAAGCATTCGCCTTGGATTGAAGTCAGTACGAAAACTTCAAAAATTGTATCTCGTCGATAAAAAAATCTCACGAACGCCCTTTATTCAGGGTTTCGACCCCCTGCAGACCCAAAGGTTCCCCTTTTGGTACTTTTTAAGAAATCTTTTTTTGGTCGACCGACCCAACATTTTTTCGAAAGGCGCCGTTGGCGCCAACATAAACTAAATTTGAGGGGGAACGCGCGCCAAAAAAAACGCAAGTTTTTTTGTCAAAACTTTCCATAAAGTGCCTACAAACGCGATTTTTTCGTCAAAACTTTCCAAAAAGTGCCCAAAAATGGAGTATTCTGGGAACGATCGGAAACTAAATTTGGTCGGCCTAAAAAAAGCCGAGACAAAGTTTTCAAATTTTTTTAGAGAATCCCCCCTCGAGAAAACCCTAGACCCGCCTCTGATTAAAACCATCGTTGTTAATCCGCCCCTGTCTAACTGTGAACTAGTGGTGTGCCCCTGCTTAAACGACATGCAATTTTTTTGTTATTTATTTTTTGAGCTTGGTAATGTTGCATCAAGGATCATTGTGGGTCTCAAAAACCCGACATTCTGATTGAGAGGCGAAATAAACACTCCATCAACTTTTCTCAGCATCGAAAAAAAACTTGCTCAAAGTTTTCTCGAAAAAAAAAATTTGAAGACTGAAAAAAACTTTCAGCATTTTCAAAAAATCCAAAAACTAATTGGCTAAAACCACCTAAAAATTTTACAAACTTCTTTTTAGATAATTTCAGACTATACCCATGTATCGGCCCTGGATCGATCAGATTTTTTTTCGGCTCTAGGTCGATCAGATGTAAAATTGGCCAGAAAAGCGGATAATTGGTAACCTCATACGACGGCCAATACAGAAATAACGAAATACGTTGATCGAAACAATAAAAGCCTGTCCGGACTATGATTTTTCGGTCGCGGAATTAACATCGCCGCGACCACTTAAATCTGGAAATTAGTCTCGTACCTCGGCACAGGCGGAACAACTTTTTCGGGGAAAGATGTAAGTTGTGACTCTTTTATAGGTTATGTCAAATTTTTGGCTATATCTTTTCGATCAACGAATCTGAGCGAAGTTAATTCGCCTAAAACTGCTCATTTTGCCATCGAATTTGATCTTGTTACTAATAAAAACGTGTCCAAAAAACTAACTAACCTTTAGTTTTTGACCGAACAAACTGCTTTAAGGTCACCGATACTGCCAGCAGTTTAGTATTAACTATATTTGCGTGTTAACTCACTTATACTGGCCACCCAGTACTCCGCCTGACTGACAGACTGGGCAATGAACTGCGGATGTCCGATGAAGTTGGCAAACTCCTTTATCTTCGTCTTCCTTGTGGCCTGCATTCGACCAATCAAATTAATTACAGGTGAACATCACTTTCAGATTAGAGAACTTGGATCCTTTAACTATCCTCCCCTCTATTGCAAAAGTTTCAAAATCCACTTTTCTTTTTCTTAACCATTGATTTAATTCTGCATAGTGCGTGGTTATTATTTATATTTCGTACCACAGAGGAGAGTAGTTTGAGAGATCCGATAGAACCAATCTTGAACTGAAGTTTATTTGATAATGCAATTTTTCTCTATTTCGCTTTGTAATTAGTTTTCCAACTAGTTTAATTTTTTAACAATTTTTCGCGAAAAATTTTTCGGATAAATGTTTCAACATTCGCCATCCGATGAACAATTTGAACTCGAATCATTTTGAACACCTACAGGGTGTTTTCGAAACTTGTTTTTTTTCTAAATCTCTCATTTGAAAAATATTTGGGTTATTGAAGTGGGTTATTTTTTGCAGTAACCGAATTCTCATGATAAAATTCTTTGAGCATAATTTTTGTTCACGCATGTTTTCGCGACTTAAAGAACTTTTACAGCATTTTGCGCCAGCTACAATTGCGCGGATTTGAAACAACTAGATAAAATGGGAAACAAATCAGTCTTAAGCTCGTTTTTTGCAAATTTTGGTTGTATTTGGCCACAAAATGACCCAATTAGGAAAAAATTGCTCTAAATTTCACCAGCTTTTTTATGATGCAATTTTGTTAAACAAAACTTCAAGCCAAATTTACAACCCTAAAACGGGCCAACTCATCTGGTTCAAAAATAAGTAGTAAAAACAAGGTCAATTGTAGTTAGTTTTATTTCAATTAACCTTGTTCACCTCCTTACTTTTGAACCAGATGAACTGGGCCGTTTTAAAGGCGTAAATTTTGCTTGAAGTTTTATTTTAAATAATTGCATCATAAAAAGCAGGTGAAATTCAAAACATTTTTTTCCTTATCATTTTTTGGCCAAATACAACGAAAATTTGTGAAAAAAGAGCTTAAAAATTAATTTTTTCCCATTTTATCCAGTTGTTTCAAATCCGCGCGATAGCAGCTTGTTCAGCACAAAATGCAGTAAAAACACATTAAATCGCGAAAACATGCGCGAACACAAAACAATCCAACTCAATGACTTGTATCATCAGAATTCGACAATTTTTTTTGCTGCCTACTGCTAAAAAAAATCAGGTACAAGTTTGATAGAGGGTCCCAAGGATCTACGCGGGTCCCTTATGTAAAAAGAGCGCCTCAAATTTGTTCAATTTTTGCATTTGATGATGAAACATACAAGTATCGAGTAGTATGCGCAAATGAGGCAGGTTATTTGCGATTGAGAAAAAGCTTTGAAATGAACGACCGGCACATATTGATTAGTTGTTCGCTGTTTCAGCTTAAAATAGTGTTTTTCTGGACCACTTTCTCATACTTGGTTTTTACCGGACCCCTCTATCACACTTGTACCAAGAATCACTTCATTAACCCAATTTTTTGTGAAATGAGAGAGAGTTCATTAGAAAACAACTGGTTTTGAAAACAGCTTAAGAAGCAAATCCTCAAAATCATTCGCAGTCATTTGTTACAGCACTCATCGAATTCAATTCCAGCTAGTTTAACTTAAATTTCGCACTGAATCACTGCAGTAAATGCTTACCTGGAAATCACTGCGAGAAAGATTTGTCTCTGCCTCGAGTGAAATATTCACAATCTGTTCACAATATGTCTGGAATTTTTCACGCTCTCCGCTTCTGTACATCAATGTGTAAATGATTTCCAAATGATGCTCAACTGTTTTCCAAAGCGGATAACTGGTGTCGTTTTGGACTGAGAGAATTGTAAGGTCCAGCGCGATGTCTGCCGATAGCTCGTTTGCTCCGAGTAGTTCCCACGAGTTGTCGATCAGACACGACTTGGTTGCCGAGTCCAGAACCGAGGAGTCCTCTCGCAGAGCATCCACGATTCGTCTCCAGGTTTCGATGTCATAGTTGACTCGGTAAAAATGCTCGCAACGACTGTTCGCAAGTATGAAACGGACCTAACACAAATAAAAAATCCTTTTTGACCTCCGCGTGTACGCTTGGTAGTCCACAGTGGACCATAAAAAAGTTATAGTCACAGACGTCGAAAGAAGAGTCCTATGGAAAATGCTTAAACACAGAAGTCCATAAATGGATCCATTGGAAAATGAAGATCACCCAAGTCTAAAAAATAATACTGTGGAAAATGCGAGTCAGAAAACTCCTTAAACGAATCTCATATAAAAACAGATGTCAAATAAATTTCGTGTATGAATTTTATCAAAAAATTTGGTCTAATAACTCAACACACACGTAATTACAATGGCAAGCTTTTTTAGTGCTTTAAGAGCAGTTTTAAGGTCTTTTAAAAAAAGGCGTTTCAGTCCAAATAAAACCCATTTCCCCTTAATGAAACCTTTGCATTGTCTGAGTTTGTCTGATTGAGTTCAATCGTGATGTTTTTGGGCTCTTTCGTCAGCCACTCTCCGTGTGTTTGACCATCACTGGTAATGAAATCAATCTTAATGTGCCACCAGTTGCTGTCTGTCTTTTCCAGGTACCTGAAAAATATCAAGAAGACTTGTTGAAGAATTGTTCAAAAAAAAGAGGGTTCGGGCTTAGCGCTTTAATGCTTTTCTCGACTAGGCTCCAATTCTCCACATTTGGTCTCCAATTTTTTGGTCGTCTTATTTTTGAAATTTATGTTTCTGCATGCAAAACTATCACATTTTTCACAAGCTGTTCATTTCGGATTTTAAACAGAGTAATAGGGCAACAATTCAATGAATTCATCTACTTCCAGTTTCTTGTTCGAGGAAACAAAAAGAGTTAATTTAGTTGGTTATTTTAACGAAGATAGTCTTGTATTTACTGTTGAGAGTAGTTCAAGTTGGTGATAAAGTGTCGCTGGGAGAGCGTGACGGAGATGGGGTTTGAGGATGGCGAGGAGTCTGAAACCGAGTCCTCGGAGGACTGTCCGTAATCCACGTGCATAGTGACCAGAGGGTATCCCAACTGAAGTGTCCACTCAGTCATCATCTCGGTGATGGAGTGGGGGATCTAAGTTACACAAAAAGGTCAACAGAGCTCATATAGAGAACAAAACGTCATCGAGTTTCAACAAATTCGACTTTTTTTATACAATTTTTTTTAAAACAAAATTTGGGTAGTGATAGAAAAATTTTAACATTTTAACATAGGGTTTATATGTGTCAGTGTTATAACTATTTTTTCTTACCCGCATCCAAGTTTAGGCGTAAATAATCGATTATAACGGATTATTATGATGATTTTTTGACAATTATAATTGATTATAATTACCAAAATTAGGTCCTTAAGGGATTTATAATTGATTATAATCGTGATATTTTCCAAGAGATTATAATCTCTTATAATCGATTATAATTGATTATAGTTCTTACTAAAAACCCTTAAAATCAATTATAATCGATTATAATCGATTATAATCTCTTATTTTGCCGGAATTTTCCGATTTTCGAATTGTATCTTATGGGTTATTATTTTTGTGTCAATAAAAAAATCTCTAAAAGAGAGATCTCTTGAACACTTTGGTTCATCTGAACACAAAGTTTTACCACGAAACAAAAGTTTCACAGAGATCCTTTCATATGACTGGAAAGGTTCTCGCGGTAGATGAAAGATAATTTTTCCGAATCAATCATGAAACTAAATCAATTTGCTGATGTTTTGGTGTTTATAAAAGCTTAAAATACGCATCATAAAACAACTCTAATAGGGATGAAATGGAAAAAAAACTTATAAAAATGAATTAATTGGAAAATTTTGAAAAATTTTCTCTCATTTTTCATAGGAACCAACGTCCACAAAAAGCATAAAATATAAGCAATTTAGATGCAACTTCGAAGACAAAAATGGACAAACAAAAGGAATTATAATCAATTATAATCGATTATAATGGATTTTTGCGCAAAACTAACGAAATAGAATTTTGAATAAAAATAATGGATTATAATCAATTATAATCGATTATAATTCTATCGAAAAATAGACAAATAAATAATCGATTATAATGGATTATAATTAATTATAATTTGATTTGAAAAAAAAGAGATTATAATCGATTATTAATTGATTAAAATCGACTGTTTCTCAATTTTAGCGAGACTGGTACTAAAATTGTAATATAATCGATTATTAACGCTTGAAACTGGATGCGGGTAGTTTCTACGTTTCAACCAGCAGCACCAGCAAATTTATTCCAGTGCGAATTAGAAGTAGAACTTACCTCGCTTCTGTTCCTAGATTGCTCAAAAGAGTTCCAGAGGTCCTCAGAAGTGGCGGAGGAGAACTGGAACCGGTCGAGATAGAGAAGTACCCCCTGTTTGAATCCCTGCTGGCCCAGAATGGATCTCAACATGCGCAGAATAGCCCCACCTTTCCGGTACGAAACTAAGACAGAACAACGCTACTTTTTTGAAGGAAAAAGCAGAAATTTCCTCAAGAAGGAGAGAATTAAAAAAGAGAAAAGTATTTCAATTTTCTGCAACATTTCTGAAGGAGTTGAAAACTGACCGAAAATTAAACCTTTTTTTGTCATGAAAAATAACTCCTAAAAGTATCTCGTCGAAGAATTAATTTTACAAAACTGTAATATATCTTAAAAAAGTAATTTGAAAATTTTGACACAATTTGATTGTCTTTGTTGAATGATTTCCATTTTCTGTATTGATAAAGCTAAGCCGCATCATCCAATGTACGATGAAGCACCTTAACATATTTGACCTTCTTTTTTTCGGAAAGTTTTCAGTATTCTTTTTAATCAAGTCGTATTCAGAAAGTTAGTGGATAAGTCTCCCTTCTCTCAGTCTAAAGGCTGGTGAATCGAGTCCCACAATTATCCCCGTGCTCATTGCTTGAGAAGACGATAACATTAGCCTGCCCAAAAATAACAATGAAAATTGCTTGAAGGTTTTATTGAGGAGCGCAGTATCGGTTCTTTGTGAAGAACCAAACAAGTCGTTTGCGTTTTCGCCAAAAACAAGTGGTTTTAAGCAAATAAGTTTCATTCAGGGGTAGATATTGAGTCTTTGCAAGGAGCTGTACGATTCGTATGCAGGTCATTTCCCTCGTGAATGAATGAACTTGATATTGATTGATCACGCATGACTAAAGGGGGTGAAAAAACAAACTGAGGTCGAAGAACATCTTGAGGTCGTCTCTGTTGGCGATCTGTTTCTCATGCACAACTGGGTGTGAGGAGACTAAAGAGTCGGAGGAGAAGACCTCCATGGTCGCATCGACGAAGAACAGACTCCATACGTCCCACTCGCCCTCAATTGCATCCATACCCACGTACCTTGAAACAAACTTTCATACTTTTTCTCACTTTTAAGACGCGTATTTTTGCTGTCATAGTTCATTTTTATTCCAAACTAGCTTTCAGTCATCAAAAATGTTTAAAATATGTTCACTCAGGGATAAAAACCCAGCCATTCCAAAAAGTCGCTCCTTTGGTTTTATTGTAAGGCATCCATTTTTGGCTGATTGACCCTAACATTTTTCTGAAGGCGCCTTGGGTCTCAATATATACTAATTTTAAGGGGCGCGCGCGCCGAAAAACGCAATTTTTTTATCAAAATTGCCTGAAAACGCCTTTTTTACTATGACGCAGATCTTTTGGTCAAAATAAAGTCATAATAGTGATTTTGGAATGCTCGAAAAATCAACCAATGCAGTCGACCTAAAAAGGACGACAACATTTTTCAACCGATTTAAAATCGATATAATTCCATTTTTGACAATGCTTGTCGGCCTTATTTTCATTCAAACTAAATTGATTTGAATCAATTCTTTCATAAATTCTTTTTATACAGATTCTATACAACTACCCAGGGGCGGATTTAGGGAGGAGGCGGAGAAGGGGGCGGGACGGCCCTTCGTTCCTCAGAGATACGACCCCCTGCCAACCCATAAGAACCCCCTGCCAACTCATATTATTTTGAGATATCCACTTTTAGCTGACGGAACCTAAAACTTTTCAAAAAGCTCCAACAAATGCCTTGATTAGGCCTGTTTTTTCTCAAAATTTTGCCTGCAGCGCAGAAAATTTGGCCAAGACAAGGTCTTTTTAAAGATTTAGGAGTGCTCAGAAACCAATTTGGTCGACCTAAACAAAAGTCGCCCTCTTTTTGGCCCCAGAAAGTTTGGCCAAACAAGTTTTTTTTAGAGATCTAGGAGTGCTCGGAAAACAATTTGGTCGACCTAAAAAATCCGCCCCTTCGAAAAAATCCAAGATCCGCTCCTGCGACTATCAAACACGTAAAATCTAATACGTATATATTCTTCATCACAATTGAGTTGTTCAAATTTGACTTATAAAAAAACGCGTAATTATATGTTCATTTGCCTAACGAAAATGCATTGGAAGCATACTTCATCACGCGGAAACTCTTAAATTTGCAGAATTTGAAAAGAATTGCTTAAACTCAAAAACTTACTTAGAAAAATTTTCCTCGAGCGACACTAGATCTCTGTAGCTCTGATGAACATTTCTTTGTATACAAAAACTTCACACAAACTCGTGAAACCAATTTTGTTGAAATTTGATGGATTTCACTTTCACTGCCTTGCGAAAAAAACTTTCAAATCGAATTCAATCCTTGTTTAGGCAATCAAAGAAAGTTTTCACTGAATAGTTCACTTTAATCAATTCTAAATATTTTTTATATCTTAACGGGCTACCGTACTTTGATTTTTATGCGGTATATTATCAATTTTCAAATCGATTGCAATGATTTTTAATCTCAAAATAGTCAGTGCGGATTGCGACCATGCACCAAACAAAGATGAAAACTGTTTGTTACACCAGTAGATACTGAAAATGCATAATCCAAGAAAAAAGAAAATTTCCTTGCTACATTTTGTTGTTTTTAAACATTTGAGGCAATCATAAAAAGTTCAAAATTTCTTCAAAAAAGTAATAACTATATTCCAGTCAAATTTTTTAAAGTTAAGTCTAGTGATCAAAAATTTTTTCAACCAATTGAAATTTTACCGTTTTTCTCCCTTGAACAAGAATATTTATAACTTGACAGAGATCCCTTCAGTCTGATGCCCAGCACCCAGCTACGCAAGTAACCCATTTGTTTTAACGGGGCTTTTATGTATCCTTAGCATTAATTTTATGCAAAATATCTTTGTCAAAGGTAGCAGGTCGCTGAGCCAAAGATTAAGCTAAGCCTAGACAATGGATCATTTTTGTAAATTGAAAATTTAATTGAAAACCAAACGACGAGTATCGAAATTTTGTTACAAAATGGAAATTTAATGTCCATTTTTGTGATATAATTGAGTGGTGATTTAGTAATTTTCCGACCAGAATAATTGATGGGACCGAATAAATATAATCTTAAAATTGATCTAAAAATAAAAATTATACATGTGGTAATTTTTTTAGTAGATTAAAACTTTGGGCGGTGCTTTTGTAGACATTTAGATATTCAAAGTGAAATTCAATCCGAGTAGATAACTGTTATCTTGTTTTTTTTGTTAATTCACTACTTATTTTTTGCCGATCTTTTTTAACTTTTTAATTTTTTATTTTTGCTGCTTTTTTAGTACATTTACCATTATGCGTCCCTGCCGCATATTTTAGTCCCAGCAATTCAAATTGATAGTTGCAACATTTCATCAAAATGTTCTGGAAAAAGTAGTTAAAACGTCAATTTTTCTTTTTTTTTGTAAATCAAGAAAAACTTTGAGCTTTTTGAACTTTGAACTCCGCTCCTACGCTCCCTTGTTGCCTTTTACGCAATTTGAAAAGTGTAATTGCGAAGAGAGCGGTAAACTCCGAAAAGAGGGGTAAGTTTACAAAATTTTTAAAAACGTTTTTTCTGTCTGTTTTTTCAACGTCGAAACATAATTTTAGTTTTTTAAAATTGATGAGCAAAAGTTTGGGAGTGAGGGCTAGGATTATATCAGAAATCGAGTAGGCCATGAGAAACGCAGAAAAACCTGCAGTTTTGGCAGAAAAACTGGAAAACATTTATACATATCATAATCCAGTATAATGGACCTAAAATGGATTACAATCGATTTAAATTATTTGAAAACAATGTGATATACAAGATTATACTCAATTTCATGGTCGTATAGTTAATGTTAAGCGAGTTTTTGGCCACTTTTTTAAGTACGAAAATCAGTTAAATCGATTCTTATTCATGAAACAACAGTGAGATTCATGCTAACACGCTGAGCAACATGCAGAAATGAACAAAAAGTTTTTCCATAAAATTGATCAAAAATGCAGTATGCATTTCTCAGGTCTTCCCCACCATATTTTGAGAAAAAAAATCAATTAGTTTAAAGAATATTTTGTTCCTCGAGGAAAGATCTGAAACGAAACTTAACAAAAAACTAGAGCATATTTGAAAAATCTTTTCAATTCGGAACACTGGGAAAAATTTGTTTAAAAGTAAAGTTTCGATCTCCGAAATTATTCTGAATAACAAACCACCCCGAGCATCAAAATTGCCTTTTTTTCGAAAGCCGGGACAACAAGCCTGAATTGATAATAAAACAACTCATCTTGATCACACATTCTGGTAACAAATTGAACTTCGATGGTTCTTAAATCGCACACCGATGGTGTTAGATCGCGCAAGGATGGCTCAAAAATGGAGCGTCGATTATTTCTTACTAAGTCTGTGTACAACTGGAGAAACAACGAGTAGCATGAACAATGATATACATTGCAATAAGTGTTGTTTACGTACTCCATGAATGTGGCGAATCCCTCGTTGAGCCAGATGTCGTTCCACCATTTGGGAGTCACCAGATTGCCAAACCTAAAAAAAATAAGCATAAAATCGGATAATTTTAGGATCTGAAACAAAATTTGCTAAGAGATTGTCAAATTGGGAATATTCGATGTCTTGCATTGGCACTGGAATTTTGTGAGGTTGGGTTTTTTAAACAGTTGCTTTGGTGAAAACCAGATATTTGAAAAAGAAAATTATCGGAAAAAGCAACGAGAGGCTGTTAAAAGACACTTTTTGAAAATTTAATTAAACTAAATTGGATTGTTTTGCAGCTAGAAGGTTCAAAACTGGTGTTTTCAGTCTTTTTAAATTGGATTTCTATGCTTGAACATATATTTGGTTGATACCAATTTGATGCTCAGTTGGAGTTAATTTTTATGCCAAAATGACCTTGAAGTTCCTTATATTTTTTATCAAATTCAAGCAAGCAACTGACCATTGATGAGCTATTTCGTGATTGACGACCTTGCATATGCCATAGTGGCTCTCCTCGCTGCCCTTAGATACCAGGTAGAACGGTCTGAAAGTGATCAGACCCCAGTTCTCCATGCCCCCCACGTTGAAGTTGGGCACAGAAATCAAGTCCATTTTTGGCAGCGCGTAGGGTATCTGATAGAATCGAGAGTTGGGGCGTAGAAAAAATCTTAAAACTTTATTTTGGGGACGCTATTTAATTCGGGAACTTATTTCGCGGCGTGCTCAAGAATTTTCAAAGGGTGGACTTTTGTCGGCCTTTGCTTTTAGGTTGACCAAATTGATCTTCTGAGCTCCCCAAAACCCTGTACAGACTCTCTTCAGCCAAAAATTTCTGAGCCGCAAGTGGCGTTTTAGGCAGATCGACGCGGGGGGATCGAATTTCTCGACGCGGGGATTTTCAAAAAAAAAATCTCGCAAACTTTCGAGCTTTGCCAGATCCTGGCCGACAAGAAAGCTATTATCTGTCAAAGTTGTAAATTTTTAAAATTATTTTCAATCAATGGAATCAGGAAAAATCTACAGAAACTTATTGGTTTAATTGTCAAACTTCAAATTTGTGATTGCTCAAAAATCAAATGTAACTAGGAGAGGATATGGTTTTGGAGCAATAAAAGTTCATGCGCTTACGAAAGGCGTGTTTTTCATTTTTTAGGCTCTTTCCCTGTTTTTATCCCAATCCCGAACTTAACCCTCCTGGCGCTTTTTATTTGTTAGCTGACCAATTACAGCAGTAATTGCTGTCTATATTCAGAAGTATGTTCCAAGCAGATTTGTTCACAAAAAAAATGAAAATGGGGCGATTCTTAGCAGCCTTCTTGCAATTATAGGTATTTAATTATATTTTTTCAATGAATTTAATTGTACGCCCCTGATAGAACTTCTCAAAGAACACATAGGACTCTGAGGCCACTCTCAGTGCATATGACGTATGGTCTATCTCAGCTTTCATGGCCCACACAGTTATGGGCACAGTCTCATTGTCCATGTTCTGTACTGTTTTCTGTCTGGATTGGAAGGTGGTGATTGCTATGGCCACCAGGTAAGTGGACATGCGGACACTACGCTGGAAGTGGATCCGATTCCAACCTGCAAGAAAAAACGCGAAGTCAACGAGCGGTTGCCGATCGGCAGGTTGGGGGTTCTAGTCCCGCGTCCATATTTTTTTTTTTAAATATACAAACAACTCTTGCTATATACCAGAAAAACCCACGAAGCAAAAAAAAATTGAATTAGTAGTTGTTATGAGCTGATTATCAATCATTCACAGTTGGTTAAATGGCCCTAACAAGATGAAAAATGAAGATAAATGACTTGAATTAAGAAAAATAGGCAAAAGGTATCCGGCTGAAATAATATCACTGCTTTCCAATGCGGACTTTATAAAACAACTACTTTCGTCTGTTTCTTTTGAATGAATATCGATAAACCGTGCTATGATATCAAGATAGGCTATAAACAGTGAGCCGATTTCATTGTATGCTTACATGTTTTATTGCAGTAACTTGTCGACTTACGAAAAGCGCGTTTGGTTCACATCGCTTTGCAAAGTGTTTTTTATTTTCTCGATTCAATATTAAACATAGATAACCTTCCAAACCAGGAACGACTTCATCTTTGACAACTGGCATGTTTGACAGTACATTGTACTCGCTTTGGTACACCACGGCAATCGAAAAGGTTGCCTTGAAAATTGGCTCGTCGAAGCAAGGAAACAGTTTCCGTGCAGCCGCTGGCTCCATCTGGGTTACAGCGAACCAACGTATCTCCCGGACGACTTTAGTTTTGTTGCCGGGATAATGGACGTATTCCGTCCTTTCGTAGTTGCCGGAGTAGATGCCCTCGACGTCCCCCGGATGGGGAGATCCCCGGAACGTCATGGATAGATTGTACTGGTTCGATTTGACTATGCGCTCACTCAGCCGAAGGGTGATCATGTCTTCAGATGGAGTGTAGTCAAACCTGAATTGAAGGAAGTGAGTTCACTTTAGTGAGAGAGCATACAGAAGATACGAAAAAATCCGTAAACCAGATAAGATACGAAAAAATCAATTGTTTAAAAAAATGTTTTTTTTTTTTTGCAATCTCGTCGTTTTCCTGGGTCTGTTACCTGTTAGCAATGTACTAAAATCAAGAATTTGAAAAAAGATGGTAATATCTTTCTGTCGTAAAGTACAGATTCTTGATACATATTCGAGTGAGTTTTTTTCTTTTCTTTTTTGTCACGCAAAATCACGACATTAAATGGGGTATAATTTTCAAAAACTTTCAGAGGTAATTACATCAATATTTGAAATATAAACAAAAATTTTATCTGTCGAGAAAAGTTGTTTAAAAATTTTTGCTTTTTTAGGCGTCCATTTTATTAAGAAGTCACTCTTCATACTGATTCATTGCATGTGAAAAGTTGTAATAAGCAAGTTGATAAATTAAATGGTTGTTTAATTTGAATTAAATTTTAGTGCCCAGCCAAAACGCGCCAGAAAACGACAAGATTTCAAAAGAAAAAGCAATGTTTTTCAATCAGTTGATTTTTTCCTCTATTTGTTGTTGCGAAAAACAACTATGGTTCAAATCTTCTCTGCAAATTGCACAGCAACTATTTTTTATAGGTAATATTGGTAAGAATTCAATAAGATTTGTCCATATTAAACTCCAACGCAAATCCAGAACCAAAATATTACCAGACTGTACTGCAAAAATGCAGCCTTTACATTCCTTCTAATTGCAAAACATACGTTTCTTTTTTTATTTTGTATGACTATTTTTGGCTGAAGATGCCGTTCGATTTTGTTTTCATTCTCTAAAAACTGATTATTTTCTAAAAAGAATTTTCGAGCTACGTTTTTAAACTGTAATGAAAAAGATTTATTTTCAACACTGCAAATTTATTGTCTTGGCTTTTTTTGACGACAATTTCTTCGGGTGTTTATTCTTCGCAGTGTCTGATGTTTTTCCCGCGCTCTAAACTCAAAGAAGACTGCATGGAAAAGAAAAAGGGAAGGCCTGATCCTTTTCAATTATCAAATTTGTTATTTTACGGAACCTAGCGAACACAAAAAAAAACTGAAAACTTTTTACACAATAAAAAGTTATTTTTCTCCGGTATCCAAGAATCAACAAAAATTGAATATGCCTAAAGCAAAATTTGGGCAACAAATTTTGACGATACATAATTTTTTTCAAGAAAATGGTGGAACAATTGGGTTCCACCACCAAAAATTCGATCTGTGCTTTTTATTGAAAGCAAGTAACTACGCCGGCTGAAAAAAAAACCAATCGAATAGAATTAAAGCTAGCTAATATTGGTCTAAAGTTTGCGTAAAACGACTATTTTAAAAATGAATTGACATTAATTTGAAAATATCATTGAACGACTACCCTTGAACGACTACCCTTTAAAACTTAAATTTTATTTTGCATAGAATAAATACGAAAAAACTTCAAAAAATATGTTTAATCAAAAATACTCAAGCTATACAAAAAACACAGTGACATATAATTTTATCTCATACTAACACTTGCTGGCTTTTTGTAACAAATTGGCAAAATTGGCAGTTTTCAGACTCATATGAGCTTACAAAACAGGTCGCACGCTAAAAAATTTTCAGTATTTGATTTCGATACATCGGTACCTCTCAAGGCATCGGTAAAAAATCAATTTCCGTTAGAAGCTGTACAAAAAGTCAAAAATGATCTGAATACAAAAACACTCAAAGCTTAGATAGTCAGTAATTTTTGCGAAAGTTGGAACAAAAACAACAAAACTATACAGCTGGCAATTAAATTTCAAAAAATGAAGAAAATTTTTCGGGAATATAGTTTTAAAATTTATCTTATATCCAGATCTAATTTTTATCACATTTATTTTTATCAAATATAAGCAAAGGCGGGTTTCAAAAAAATAAGCAAAGGCGGAGTTTCAAAAAAAATTAAAAATTTTGTCGAATTTTTTTAAAATAACCAAATTTCATTTCTGCCCTCTCCCAGAGCACGATAGTGACCCTACTTTGACCAATATTTCTGAGCCGCAGGCGAAACTTAAAAAAAACAGAGTAAAAAACGAGTTTTTGGCGAGTGCTACCCATTTGGAATCAGAAATACAGGCGCCAAAAGCTACTAAAGAAAAATTTCAGGAATGGTGGATGTCTTAAAAACGAGGGACTTTTGGATCATCAGAGGGCAAATCCTTGAGGGGGAGAAAAAATCTAGCCGTACCGTCGGAACAAGCGTCGTAAGAAAGAGCGAGGGATAATATCTGTTTTTCTTTGAAAACTTTTTCCGTAAGCGCCATAGCTAAAACAAGATGACAAGTGGTGCGTCTCATAACGCACAAAAATGAGGTCAAACAGCACGCCTCAGTTCAACTTGAAAAAAACACTCAGCCGAACTAATTTGCCATAAACGCTAAGCGAATTTTAAATCCACACAATTTCTTAGCACTTTTTCAAATATCAAAACGTTCCCAAAATTTATCGCAAATAAATGAAAACTGAATTTGTATTCCGCCTTAAATTTTTCCAATTGGAACGAACAATTTTGTTGAAAATAGAGTTGAAAAGTTGATATTTGTCAAAAAACGCATTTCACTTTTACCCAGATCTGCAAAGATTTTTAAAAGAATTTTTTCTTAGAATTGACCTGCTACATAATAAGCTGAGTCTCCAGATCAAAGCAAAACGAATATTCAATTGAAAATCATTGAAAAGGCAACCAGATTTCCCAATTTCGAATTTCGTCAACCAGATTTTGTCAATGGGAAAAGGCAACCAGATTTCCCAATTTCGTCAGGCCTTGATTAGAATCTGAAAAAACAACTAGACATTCTAATCTGTAAAATGAGAATTTTATGGAAATGAACAAGAACAAAATTTTTAAAGAGCAACAAAGGGTAAGAAAGGCAAATCTTGTTGAGCATAGTTTTAACGCGAGTGTCGAGTTTTAAGATAATGGATTAGGCAATTTTCGTCCTCGGATGTTTTATGAAGATTTTGAAGTCAGTTCTGGAAGGAGCATGGGGATGTTTTGACACTTCTGAGTGCCCCTGGGATTCATGTGTTCAGAGACCCCGGTACAAAAATGACGCCTGGTTTCAGCAATATAGGAGGCTGTACACTCCTGACAGGAAGACTCAAAAATACCTCAAGAAGCCAGGTTGGAGTCAATTTGATTCTTAGTCTTGAAAGGTTGGGATCTTTTCAGGCTGCTGAACACTGGAGAAACCTTAGTTTTTGCCAGAGATCTGTTAAGTGTCCGGATTTTTAATGTTTTCATATAGTGGATAGTCTCGACAAATGGCAACTTCCAAAATGCAATTTTCTTGTCCAATTAGTTAGTAAGATCGATGTTTTTTTTGCCACTCCAAATGACTGATTCGCTTATTTTGTTCAGAAGATCGTCTGGATACCCGTTTTTACGTAACATGTCAAAAACTCTGTAGAAAGCTGCCGTGAAACCGTGATAATCAGAGCTAATCGTGAAAGCTCTTGGGAAAAAAGCTCTAGGGACCGCTTCTTTTTATCTTGGATCGCAATATGATGAGAATGGTATGTTCTCATCATTTGGCAATTTCATTTTACCATTTTACCATCTCATTTCACCATTTCATTTTATCATTTCAGCATCTCATCGTATTGCGATTTCATTTTTAATTTTTTCACCATTTGTACAAATTGTAATGTCTAGTTGTGCTTTCAATCAATGCCTGACGAAGTCGAAATTATCAAAACCGATTGCATTTTAGTTGATTTTTAATTGGATATTCGTTTTACTAGAGTTGACCACATTGATTTTCTGAGCTCTCCCAAATCACTGTAAAGACCGTAATTTGACCAATATTTCAGACCCGCAGGCGTTTTAAAAAAACATGCCAAAAAGTTGTTTTTAAGAACTTTTTAGTAAGTTTGAAAAAAAACGCCTTTTTCGTTCGGTCCCTTCACAAAATTTGCATCTGTAGTAGTATAGTATTTAGTATCTACAAATAAAAAACATAAGGATCGGTGGGTGTCTTAAGATAAATGTTTTAAAATACTGCCAAAACGTGGACCCTTGGGTCGTCTGAGGATCGAATCCCTGAGGAGGAGGAGGAGGAGGAGGAGGAGGAGGAGGAGAAGGAGGAGGAGGAGGAGGAGGAGGGGCATCCGCCCCTCTTCGACCCTAAATCTAAATCCGCTAGTGATTATTAGTATAGCAATTGCGAACAGCAAGAGGAAATAAAATGTGTCAGTAATTAGATATGAGCCAGGTATTCACCCTTCCATTTATTCACCCATCAGAAACTTGAATTAGATTTTTCCTCAAAACGAGATACTCACTTTTGGATATGGATTTTTCTGTTGTGGTAACCTGTTAGCCGACACGAAATTATCGAAAGACTCTTGTGTGCGTTCAGCTTGATTTCTCTCGTGTCTTCGGCGACCGTCAGCTGGATTTGAACGGTCCCGTTGAACGATAACTGCACCTGCATCTATTAAACATTAGGCCACCCCACCCCACTTACTTTTCAAACCAAGATTATCGAAAAAATCAGAACTCAAATTTCTCCTCGACTAAACACTCTTTGTTCCATCTTTTTTGTAAACTTTTTTTCTCCATCACAATTGATGTAAGCCAAGATTACTGAATAAAAGCAGACCTAACGTTTGTTTTTACTCAATCGATATTCTTTGTTGAAAAAAAAACTTCGAAAATACGGCTAGGGGACCTCGTGTTTAATAGATCCCTGGCACCTTATCCTCTAAATCTGGCATCTGAACTTTGAGAAGAATTTCATAATGATCTGGCAACACTTTTTCGGGTAATCTCACATATTTCGAACTGTCCACAGCGGCACCTTCCAGAGAAAGGGAGTTCGATTCCGCCCAGGGCCATTTTAGCCCGGCGCAGTGGTAATGCAGGAAAATTAAGTAGGTTATAATGAAGAAGAGGATAATAATAACTGTAACTAATGCGATTATAAGACATCTAGGGTAACTTCTCACATTTGATTCGCTTCGACTCTCCGGTCTGGTTCTGAGAAGAGAGCATTTCTTGGAACTGGCATGAGAATTGCAAAACGTGGTTCCGTTTGAACTCGAACGATCCTCTGCCATTTATGGTAACTATTCAAACTCAACCATAAGCAAATTGATAATCAATATTTATCAGATACAAAAAGGAAACGACTTTCTACGTCGCCACTTAAAAGGGAAAACAAAACACAAAGTCTCAAATGATAGCTTTCAGATTACCTGTTTTGAAAAGAAAAACAGCGAAACCTTAACTTGAGAATTAATTTTTTGAAATTTTTTTTGAGAATTTATGAAATTTGACCGTAAACTTGGGTTAAAAATTGAGACAAATTCTTTCAAAAGATAAATAGGGAAAATTGTGAAGCTGCGGTTGAATAGCCAAAGCGCAACTTGAGACCCGAAACTAATTAAGAAAGGATAAATATCTGATTTCCTAATTAATTTTAGCTGGTTAATCAGGAATACCCATACTCTTTTTCCGGACGTTTGCAAAAGTTTTTGCAAAAAATGTAATAAGAAAGATTTAAGCCAATGCCCGAGATTAAATTATGAAATTGGAAAATTTTCTGAGTAATAATTCATTCCCATTCAATAACTATTCGCGGCGTGATACTATTTCTTTCATTACCGGCATTTTACGCAACTAATAGGTTAGGTAAATATTAGTGTTTCTTAAAAGCTAATCTGCATTCAACTTGGTGAAAGAAGCTTTTCAAATAAATAAATTCAACGTGAGGTTAGCTAAGACCTTAGACTACCGTGGCTAGCGTCTATTTAAGTGTCAGACCTATTCAGATAAGTGATACTTTCTCTACGACTTACCAAGCACTTTTAACTCATCAAATATAATCAAATCCAATTTCAAATCAACAGCCGCTGACATTTCGAATAGTGAACGTAGATGGAAAATCAAGAAAAAGCCAACGTCATAATTTAGGAAAAATTGTAATAGCATATTAAAACGCCTGAAGTAGGTAAAATGACGAATTTGAAGTCAAGTTTAGTTTGAAACAGCCATATAGCTTTTGAACTAAATTTGGACCCAAAATAAAGCCCAACAAACGTGTTTGCGGTTGTATTTGGGTCTAAGTTGTGAAATGGCACCACAGCCAGTAAAAAGTTTACACTTTGGCTGGGCGCAAAACTAAGCTGTTTTGGGTTTCTTGGTCGAAGTTGGTAACAAAAGTCGCGTTAGAAAACATTTACAACTTCAGAATAGGGTAAGAATTATAGTCATGCTGTTAGTTTTAACTAACGCGTGATCACAACTGAAGTGCCCGTTTCCTTTTCAATGGAGAGTAAACAAATGTATTAATATGGCTCAAGGCTATAGAAAGCGTTTTCCATTCTTGCATTCAGTTTTGAAAAAAAAACAGAAAATTAAAAAGTTCGAATTTTTTCCTGCAAAAATCAAAATGAAGTGCAACTAATACGCAGTTTTTTGACATATTCGTCATTTTTGTCGCTATTAACGGATGAGCCATTTCAATCTGCAGGATTTGAAGCGAGTGCAGTTTGCAATTTGATTAAAATAGAGCTCAAGTTCAATTTTTGAAGCTTTCACTTTTAAATTCCTTACAAGTGGACTCTTAAGTCACTTAAGTGTGTTTAGAAACCCCTGGCGAGCTGTCTTTGTAATCTGAAAGAGGTTTAATGCATCAGGCGTCTTCTAGTTGTGCCATCAGATAGATTAAAAGCTGAGATAAATTCCCTCAACTGAAAAAAAGAGGAAATTTGATAAGTTTTATCGACTAAAAATCAGGTCGCAGCGCATAGGCCCTAGTCGCAGTCTGAAACTTCTACAAAACCCATATCTAGAGTGTCAAAAGCGATTTATGAATTATGAAGAGACTCACATAGAAGAAATTTCAGAGAACGATATCAAAATACTCAAAATTTCTCCGCTAATATGGCAAATAAATCCACTTAGATAAGAAATAGATAACTTTGTAAAAGTATGATAGTTTTAACAGGAAGACATGCAAACAGACGTTTGTCACAGATAATTTTGATCCATATTCTTCGAAACGAAACAATTACTCAGTTTCTGATATTTGTTTTAAATTACAAGAATATATATATTATCACCAAACTTTACTAAATGTGAACTAAACTTTCTCTTCTGGTTACATGATAAACGAGATACCACTAAGGTCCCACTTCAGCAACTTTTCTCACTTAACAAGTTTTCAAGACTTAGAAAATAACGACCTGCCCAATTTTTCTTAAAAATTAAATCAGATTTGGTGTTTGTTCAAGCCATCATCAAAGAATCAAGTTTCAAAACGGTCCACCTTCATATGCATTGTAAGTTTTCAATTCGACGAAAAGATTATCGACTGTTTTAACGAAGCGTTTTTTCCAAAATTTCTAATTGAGAAAAACAGCTTGAAAAAAGACTAATTTCTCGAAAAATTCTCAGCCCTAAGGGGTTTTTAAATTCAGATACAGAATATTGAGTCAAATATATTGATCAATAAGCTGGAAAGTTATCAAATTCGACGTATAATTTTCGAAAACAAGGAAAACGTTAAAAAATAAAGTCAAATTTTTCTGTTGTTTTTTGTTCATTATTAACTCAATCATTTCATTACGATGGAGAACGCGGAGATGTGATGGAGCAAGAGGTTTCCGTGAGTTTTAGTTTAAAAAAGGAACATCGAGGTGAGCAAACTACAAAAAAAAATTTTGGCTTTAACAAAAAAGGCGAAAAAAAAATCAAATACTGGAGATAAAAATGATAATATGAACGATAGATTACAATCCCAAGAGAAATACACAAGGAAGCGTTGCTTGATTATTCAAAACCCGACCTTCGACGCAAGTCGTTCAAGAATGTAACAGGGGACACCTTAAATTTCTTTTAAAAGTATTTGAATAGAAACCTAGCGGAAGAACGGATAAAAGCTTAGCACGTCTTACCGTGCGCTCCCAAGGAAAACTTTCGGCCGAGTGTAATCTGCGAATTCATCTATTTCGATGATGAAGACGAAATATACCGTGCTCGGCGACAGTTAAAAAAACGAATAAAACCTATCAATAGAAACAATAATTATAATCGCAAGCGTTTGCCTGAGTGCAAGGCAGAAGTTAGAGCGTTTGCAAGTGACATGGGACTTATAACAGCAATTAACAATTGTATTGCGTGAATTTTGGTAGCTCAAGGAAATGAGCAAAAGTTCGTGAAAATAACGAAAATTGAGGGTATTGTTCGTTCGCAGCCCACAGATGTAAATAGACGAAATACAGCAACAAAAAACAGGAAACAAGCCAGTCAAATGAAAACAATGATGAGAAGTCACCATTCCCTAGTAAACCAAAAACGAAATGGACTGATAAACTTAAATTGAGTTTCAAGTAAGCTCAAGGAGAATCATTTGTTGCTAAAAATGCCTGATTTGATGTTTGCTTAGGAATTGCTTTTGAGATGAAAAAAATCAGTTTTTTCAACTTAACTACTAACAAGTTTGAGTTTTTAACGCCCTATTTAAATCATTATTGACACTTTTTTTTCTGTTCAATTCTCACCATTTTTTTCCGCATGAAACCGCATTAGGTTGATTTTGATAAAGAACCATAGAAAACGACACTTACATCTCATTTGCACTCAGTTCTGTTAGTCCTGCCTGTGATTTCCGTGGTGAGTCCAAAAACTTTCATCGAACACTTTACAAATTTCGTGATTATATGTTTTTTTGCATTTAAATTACCTATTTAAAAAATTTTTCTTGCATTTTTTGTTTGCACTTATCATCCATTTCATCGAAATTTAAGAAATCACAATGAAAAGATAATTTATCTGACATCGGAAATCTTTTTCTTTCGAGCAAAAATATCAAGTGACCAAATCCAAACTTGGGTGAAAACGAATACTTTTTTTTTCAAAATGCGCGTTCATTACCAAAAAATCGAGGAGCTAACCGTATAAAAAAAATTTGAACAAAAAACGAACCGTAATTTGCTTAAACGAATTTGGCTGAAAGAGGAAAATATTATATGTGCTTAAAGAAAACGACTATCATATTATTGAGACAAATTGGAGAACACTTCAGGGACTAGCTAAATTGTTAAGAAAAGAAAACAAATTCAAACAAAATACAAATTTTAACTATAGAGATCAAAGCAAAAGTGAAAAAGTATTTTATAACATGTGTTTACATACCACCTAGCTCGGTTAATAAGCAAACTTTTACTACATTGGAAACACATTGTGAAAAATTAATTATACTTCCAGTTGCAACACAATTTAATTGCGGTGACTTCAACACAAATAACGCATGAACCTCAAAAAATGTATGTCGAACAGTCAATCAAATTTTTGGGTACAATTTGAAGTTAGTGAGCACAAAAACACCAAAATGTGAAACAAGTATGTCAAAATTGGTACAAGGTTTTTTGCTAACAATTTACGCTGTTTAAAAGTTTTCAAAACAAAAGTTTCGGATCATTACTCTGTATTTTTTGAAATAAAAAAAAATTGAATCGTCAAATTGAACTATTTTTTGATGCAGACAATGGAAAAAACTGGCGAACCCCAAGTTTATAGTAAACCTCAGAGAAGAACTCAGAATAGCACTATCAAAGTATTGTTGCAACTTCACACACACTGACTCGCAATTCGCGAATTGATAACAGTTTTAACTGAAATACTAGACAATCTTCTACCAGAAAAAGAAATTAACAATGAAAATGAAAAAATACAGGTAGACAACATCATTAAAAACGCAGCAAATGAGAAATATACACTTTGACAAACCTATTTTCAACAAAACACGTCCTTAACCCATGAATGTTATAATGAGCGGGCAAAAAAATAAGCGTCTGATACCGGACAATAGAAGATCATACAAACAACAGTAATTTAACACAAAATCTTGTAAAAATTGGAACAGACTTTTTCAAACTTGTCAATGAGGTAACCGGTGAAGTAAATCAAAACATAATGACGAAGATTTCGATGAAGTAGAAGTCGAAGGTTTCATTAATTTTGTCAACCTTAAGAGTACGGTAAGATAGGCGATCAACTGCTAGAGACAGCTCAGACTTAAGTTTGCGTCTAAACTGTAAATCAAAAAGTGAATAACCGATAACTGAGTTTTTTGTAATTCTGATATCTTCAATGATATGACGAGGTGGTTCTCGAACGTGGAAAAAATCCGGATTCAGCTGGCCGCTCCCAACCGGCGTTGAATAGTGTGAATAGTACTTTCAACCAGACCGCACCTCGGTGCTCGCTGACAGGGCAAAACTTTTGTAAGCTTCTTTTCTCCAAACAAAATGCTTGAAGTTACTTATTTTAAAAAAAAGAATGCTGATTGGTTTTAACCGCCTTTGGGATATAATTTTGCTCATTGTATGAGGTTAAGAATTTACTGATCTTCTTTCCCCTGTATTTCTGGTTATCTCAGCCAAAGGATCCTTTGAACGTCGGTCAATAGCGACCAAGATCTACAATTGTCCGATAAGGAGCCCGCATAGTTCAACTGCATTTTCTCTTAAAATCGGTAAAGGGCTGCTAGGTTAAAAAATAAAACGAGGTTTCGAGTTCTTAGCAAATTTCGTACAGTAAAGACAATTTTTGCACAATTGGATGATGTCGCGGTGTATATTGGGCCGCATCCAACACGGCAAGCTGGCCAGATTGATACCGATGAAGACGGGCGAGAACGGCCTTGTGCAGGACCAGAGGGATTGCGATTCGTTTGTCGACGATAACACATTTATCCACCACGACTGCAGCACAGCTCCAAATAATATTTATTGATTAGAGCCTGTTTTATCAGACGCAGTGACGGAACTTCGTCTCTTAGCTCGGAGAGGACGTCCGCGTGAAGTGTTCCGACCAGTCTTGGAAGCAATTTCTTGCTGTGGGCCACAACGGTTTTTTTTAAGGTACACAGACTGAGGACTTCTGCCACTTGACTAATGGGTTGGGCAGAGTCCAACACGCGTCTTTTGACCCGTTGTAGACGGAAGTTGTAGGCGGCGAGCAGACGGGAGTATGTACCCGGCAAAGTCTTGTGACTTTGCGGATTTGTCTAATTTTTTTTGGCAAAAAAAAACAAAATATGCTAGCTTATTTGATACCATTTGATTTTTTTTATGCGGACAAAATTGGGCGGAAAGTGTCCTCCCTGTGCCACAGTTCTTCTTTGTCACTTCGTGGCGCTCGAAACCCTAATAACTCTCGTCTAAGGGCGTAAGCTTGAATGTTCCGACTGCACATAAAAATGTCCGCCTAGATTTGGAAAAGCGAACTCATAAAACTACTTTTTTATTTTGAAAAAAATCTTACCCTGATAAATAAAGAAACTGATAAATGAAAGTAAAAAATGACAAACATTTGTCTCTCAAAATGGAAACTTACGGCAAGTAGCTAGCCTCAATTCAATTTCGAACATCAAAACAAAGTAATAAATAATGGTTCCAAAGGTGCCATGAAAAAAATTAGGATTTTGTCGGCCGGAAACAAGTGCCTGAAAATAGTATTAACAGGAGACCTTATGGAGAGGGGTCAACTTCAGGAGGAAAAGCACGTCTGTCCCTACCCCTACCTCCCCCCCCCCCCCCCCCCCCCCAAGAAAAAACCCTAGCCTAAATTCGCCGCTGAACGAGTTGGGCAGCGAGGGGGTCAAAACTCTAAAGTTGATGTCCATATTGCTTCCACTACAAGCTTAAAAACATAATTTTGATTCTTGATATATAAATTATATTTAAAATTTAAAATCAATTAATATTAATTCAAGTAAGGATAAATTGACCGAAGAATTGCGGAAGGAAGTAATCAGTTTACTTAAAGGAACAATCGCTTTAAACTATTCATCGACATATTGTACACAAGGAAAATAAATTTCAAATTATTACATCAGAAAGGCAAAAGGAAAGCGAAGATATACACAAGCATTATTTATAAGTTTAATTTTTAATTTTTCAATAAAGCAGTAAGAAATGACGTTTGATTACTCAATTTATTTCAGATCAAATTGGACTCCATAAACGCTCTTCAGACATGGAATCTACTGATATTATACTATTCTAACTATTGAAAGAATGGCAGATCTTCAAAATTACTGATTATGTAATGTCTAATTCACGGTAGAAAATACATTTGGTTATGTAAGAATGTCGGCCGGAACTTGACGCATAGAAAAAGGCAGTTTTGGTTTTTGAGGTGGGGAGCAATGAGCTAAGAAGCGCTCGTACTCCATATGGTGTCGCGGGGACGACAAGAAGCGACCATCGCAGACGCCCGGTGCTACCGGGTAGCCCCCCGTGACCACAGACGCCGCCGCAGGCGACGCAGATGAGGCGAGTGATGAATTTGAGCTATTGTGAAAATTCCCTGAGTTCAAATTGCTGTTCAAATTCTGACTGAGGTTTTGTGAGTTTTGTTGGTGTATTCTGTGAACAGCCAGTCCGGAGTTGGGTAGAAGGCCCCGATTGTGATTAGAGAGGGGGTGAGATAAGTTCTGATGCAAACCCATCCCCTCGAGATTAGACAAACCAAATGGCGGCGGTGCTACTGGATTCGTATTTAGATTCTGCTGCTGCTGGCGTCGCAAATGATTATAAGCGTGCAAAAAATGACTAGCATGAGCTGGACTATTTGGCGGTTGAAAAGGCGGAGGTTGGAATGGTAAAGTTGGAGGTCTGGGTAACATGTGCTCCTTGTGGTGATGATATGTCTGCTGGGGATGGGGACTATGATTGATCACTCCGTTGTGATTCATTAGAAGTCTTTGTCTTTCGACAACTGATATCGGAGAGTTTCCATGACTGTTTAGCGAGGCTATCCCGAATCCCGAACTGGATCCGGATCCGATCATAGGAGTAGTTCCAGAGCACATGGCAGGTGGTTGTGTTGTCTGTCGACTATTCGACTTAAGACTCTCAATTTCTGCCAGGAGTCCTTTCATCACTTCTGACCTATGATTCATGAGAACCCGGTGTTGATTTTGAAGGGACGCCACTTGAGATTTGATCGAGTGTGCTATCCTATTGAGGTGATACTGCTGCTGAGAATTGAGAGGTAATTTTGATACTTCTGATGTCAAAAGAGACGTGGAATATTCTAGAAGATGTTCAGGTGATAGTCTGGGAGGGAACTCCTTAGTGCGATTCAATAACCGAGTGTTATGGCCCCCATTTAAATGGCCAGGAGTAGCTACCGGGTAGTGCTTCGATAACAAATTTTCGGGAACTCTTGACATTCCCAAGAACTGATTGTGAAAAGGACTCGCCTTGCCAATTTCATGATTTGGAACCGAAATTCGGTTAACTCCTGCAACTAAATTGTCTGGCAAATTTGACATATAAGCGTGACCGTTTCTTACTTCGGAGCCATTTATTACATGGCTGTGATTGTTTGTTGATCCTTGACCATCACTTGAACTTTTGTTAAGGCTGAATATATTAGCAGGCGAGACGCTCATTGCAACATTTCTCGGATGAATTTTTGACGCTCCGACTTGGGGCGAAGATGACACACTTCGATGCTCCTCGAGGCTCGCGGTTTTACTTGCTCGTTTCTTGGCTGTCACCAATTCGGGTGAAATGGGACTTCGGGCTCGCTTCAAATGTGCAAAAGACGTAGGCAATCGGCTGAAACAATCGAATAATTGAGAAACTAAGGTTTAGATAGATCAAGGAAACACCTGTATCGACGCAAATTGGCCATAGTCAGTTCTAAAAAGATCGTATCGTTCTGAAATTTTCCAACAAACGCAATTTTGGCCGACAAATTTTGTTTTCGAAGCTTCCCAATAGGCGCTGAAAGATCGAAAACTATTAGTTTTCCAAGTTTATGCAAAAATAAGAAAATTGAATTTTTTTGGACAGCAATCACGTGTTCTGGCGCACTTCTCTGTCCAATTGTATTTCAATTGGCGCTTTAGGATCATCGGCAAGAAATTGATCGGTAAAATGTCACTTTGTGAGAGTAAGAAGTCCTCTTTGCGACGAGACAGTGCATACGAACCATATCCTTCTACCAAGGGACGGATCGAGGATTTTCAAAAAATTTTGAAAATTTTGTCGACCTGTTTTTTAAGGTCGCCCTGGTTTTTTAAGCCCTTTAATCTGCTACTACCAAGCTCAACCATCAACTCATGGAATCATTCTTCTTACCTTTCTACTTGAATTTCTGGCGAGACATTTTTATCTTTTACAGACAAATCTAATGGTCCACTTTCATCTGCAGTTTCGACCAGATCTCGATTTAAGTTCAATTCCACTTCACCGGTAAGTTTCAGTTGCTGGAGAGAATAAAACCGTCCCAATACCGAATCCAGAGGCCAATCCTTCTTGACATCCAACGCAAACGAAAGCTGGGAAACTGCGGAGGAAGGAAGGTCACCGAAAGTTCCGACTGCCGAATTGGTCAAATTTTTGGAAGTTTGATCTAATTGGAGCGCGCTCTCATTTCCTACGTCGATATTTAACGGTTCAACACTGCTCCTCAACATAATACTGTAAAATGAGAACAATTATCAGATTTTGTGCATTTTTTCATAGCCCTTCCAGATAAAAAAAATTACGCTATTTTATAATATTGTAATTTTTCTGGATAAGTGAATTCAAGATCGTTCAAGAAAGCCATCAAACTCGAAACACTTTTTTAATACTTAGAATGGTCTATTTCGTATCCTAAACTTAATTGAGTCTATAATACACGTGGTATTTGGTTCGAAGCGATATTTGAAACACTACTTGTTCAACCAATTTGAAGTTATAATTGGCACTCGATTGACTAATTGATTAAAAAAATGCGTGCATTTTCTAATCAATTGAATTACTCTTAATCGGTCAAAAATTAATCAAAATTGTGTATATGATTTTTTAACTTAACTTAACATGATGCTGTTCAGACTTTATGTTATACCTATTGGCAACAACTCACCTAATTTTTAGTTGTCCCGATCGACCTAACTTTTATGGTTGTCCCAATTTTTGTATTTCATTTTTCAATATTATTTTAGTCTCGAAAAATTACATATTGAAACGCTGAAAATATAAAAAGTCGAAAGCCTACAATTACTTTTAGTTAAGAAACAAATTAATTTCTGGCATGTTTATGTTTTGTCATTTTCAATGTTTCGACATAAATTCAGTCGAAAACTTGAAATTTACAAATTGAAAAGTCGAAAAAAAAACAAAAACTTGAAAAAATTAATTCATTTTTTTTCAGAAAAAAAAACTCAAATTCTTAGAGATTTATGTTTTGGTATTTTATTTTTAGCATAAAACCACAGCCGACCATTTACAAATTGAAATGTCGAAAAAATTTGAAAAAAAACTTACACAAAGGCTAAGCAGCTTTTTGCACCACTTGCGATGCAAAAACAGTAAGTCAAGAAAAAAATTATAAGAAAAACAGATTACAAATTTGTTGGAAAGACATCTTAAGAAATTAATAAGCTACAAAATCGGGCTAGCTCCAACTTACATTTAAAACCTTCCTGCTATTCATCGAAGTCTTCCGAAGACACCATTGGTGAACTGCATTGATGAAAGAACCAAAAATCACTAACTCTGATGCACTTTTTAAATAAGTAAATAAAAGACATAAATACCGAACATTATTCTTCAATTTTTAGAAGCCAAGACAAATTAGATTAGAAACACAAGAAATTTGATCTGAACAAAATTCTAAACAGTACTTTTTGAAACAAAATGGGCTAAAAAGCAATAAGAACATATTTTCAATTGTAGTAATCTCAAACAAAAAAAATTAAAAAAAATTGTGAAAACATACTCAATTACCTACACCAAACAAAAATTGATAAAAACCGCCGATTGAACAAACACTGATTGAACAAGCATAAAAGGTTGAAACAAACTTTATTGTGCAAACTGAAAACAAAAAAAATAAACATTTTAAGCTTTTTGTTTACATTTTCAAAGTTTTCGCTTTCATTACGAAGGGTCTGCGAAAATTATTTAGATTTGCCCAAAACATTTTGCAAGACTTCAACCAGTCTTATGAAAACTAACAAAAAGTAATTGAAAAAAAAAATAATTCGGAAAATGAGCCGACGGAATTAAAGCCGACACTCAAGTGCCGAAAAAATACCGAAATTTTTAGGCACAAATTTTTTTTATGAACCCATGACAGGCACACAAGGCATATACCTAGCATGAACATACTGCATTTACCCCTGCAGTAAAACACATGCGAATTCAGTCCACGTGCGAATTGTGTGAACAGCGTTGTTTGCAGGAAAAAGTCTAGTACCCGGTTACACTACCCTTGCTTATCGCAAGGGTAATAATTAAATTTAGTTCAGAAAAATACTTTATTTCTCACATGTTTTGGTGCCCGTCGGTCGAACTGCCGACAGGTACCGAGTCGTAATAACAGTCCACAATTCCCGCACTGAGACATCTAGGCACCAGAGTGACATCCAATGTAGAATCACTCACAGCCCAATTGGTTTCGGGAATCAATTCCGATTTAGCTCTCGGAGGATACCTCATCACCTCGTGGAATCCTGATGGACCCTGAACCTGACAAGGTGATCCGTGACCTTGAAATGAAGACAAATGACCCAATGAGTCCGGATGTTCATGACCTGCAAGCCGCTGACATTGACCTGGCAATCCCTGAAGTTGACCTTGAAATAGGCGTGCATGGCCCGAAGAGTCAAAATCAGGTAGTGGTAAGTGTTCAACGTCTCGCAAGGACAGATTTAACCCCGTGGCGAATGATTCTGCTGCCGGTTCACCCATTGAATCTGATGCTTCTACTGAGTCACAAACCTTAAAGAATAACACACCACGTCCAACTACTTACTGCGATGGGAGGGGGGGGGGGGGAGGGGTTGGTGGAGATGCTAGGTCAGAATCGAGTAGGACGGCGGCGGTAATTTAACATTTTCAAACAAGTTCTAGTCTTTTTAATTAAACCCACCCCCAACATAATAATAAAGTGTACGGCGACGGGGTTGGAATTTTTGTGACAAAGCTGGGGATTGTAATGGTTAAAAAAACCCAATTTCCTGCAACGTCTAAAGTTTCAAGTCTTTTTCAGTTCCTCTCTTCAATTACAAAAAAAAAGAAAAAATTATTTTGAAATAAATTATTGAAAGCAGCTGACACTACTATAATTTACCAACCTTCTCATGGGAACAATGAAAGAGAACGTGACATCATCATAATCAACAAAAACATTAACGGAAACTTAAAAGTTCCTCTTATAATTGACAGCCATTTTGAACCACAATCTATCAAGCTGTTTAAACAGAAACTGTTGTCAATATATTTATCCCTTTCACATACAAAGAGCAGAACATCCTCTAAGTCATTTAGCGAAGGCATAGGCATACGAATGAGAAAAAATTCGACTGTGGGATCTTCTCTTGTTAAAGCAGAGTAAACATGAGATGCGATTGCACCTATAATTTTCTGGCTTCTACAATTCGCAACGTCCCCAGTTATTTTGTTGAGCGAAGCTGTTTTTAGCGACTCAAGGCCGTTTTTTTCCGTCTAGAATTTTCACGTGGTACCACTATTGCAGCCGAAATTGGCCAGATTGTGGTAGATCTGAAGCTAGTGATCAAGTGAGAGCTCGTTCTCACACACTATCATTGCCATGGCAGGGAATCGAATGCCTTATCTCGATGCGATAGTATGTCATCTCGTTACAGCCACGGTTTAAGAAAAAGTTGCCTTACAGCAACGGCTTTTATCGCGAAACTAACAAAATCGATGAAAGTTCAAATCCAAAGTGCCTGTACAAAAGATGGCTCGTTGTAGGCTTCTTACGACCGCTTTTGACTCCTTACCTCACATTGAACTGCTTAAAAGTTCTTATGAAACCTAGGCAATAACACCAGAAGATTGCTGCTTTCATATCCTCAAAGAAGGTCGCTCGACTTTGCCCACATGGCTCTAGTGCTGAATAAAAAAACTCGGGAGTCACTGTCTAGTTGAAGTAGCCGAAACGCCAAAACATTGGCGAATTGGATGCAAAAACAATCGAGTTGATATCATTTGAGCTGTTGAGTGTTAAAATGACCAACAGTTTGTCTCAATTCAAATTGCAATTATCATTTGAATGCTGATCACTTCTTGACATGCTTGGCTAATTTGAACTCTTCCGCCAATTGACTTATTTTGCCATTTTTAAACGCAGGTGATATAATTTTTCAGTTTTGAAATCAGGACATTATCAAATTGTTTTGTGAAAAAAAACTATTTAACACGTAGAAAAATTCGTCGTATTTAAGTTCGTAGAAAAAATTCCACTGTGCATAGCTATTCGATAATTTTCTTCGAGAAAACCTCAAATCGCTTTGCAATCATATATTTTCGAGGCTGATTTCTGGATTCATGTTCAGTCACATTTTCACTACCGCTTTTTGAATACAACTACAACAACAAAAAACACGGGCTGCAAAGTTTTTCAAATTCCTCCTTTAGACAGCATTTTCTATGGAGAAGATGGTTTGATTGACCAAAAAAATATCCATTTGATAGGTAGTTGAGAAAACGGATGATAGCTAGTAACATTTGTAACAAGCTAAAAGTTATGTTAAGGTTATGAAGCAACGCTGAGTTTCTTATTTTCGTTTTTAAATTATTTTGGTTAGTTTTAATTTTAATCGTTTCTTTTAGTCTAAAAGTTTTATCATCAAAAGACTAAACTTTTCTCATTTATGAAGCAATGTTTCATCTTTTTCCGCTTATTAAGTTTAATTTGATGACTGCCTCAAGCTGGAGCAAGCAATAACATATAATAGCTCTGGTGTGACTGCCTTTTCATCGGTAAAAAAGTTTTACGTAAGCACAACCAATAGCACCGCCATAAATTTAAATGGTTAGAAGGAAGAAAACATCAAGTTCAAAGTGTTAACGCTCCTTTGATGTTAAAACTGTTGATGTTTTTTTGCTTTGAATAAACAAAACCGCACGAGCGTTAAAGAGATTTGCTATGATTAATTATTAAAAATCGAGAACAAGTGTCTTGTAATCGGGAACTAGACTTTTTTCCTGTAAACAACTTTTCTTATAAGTTTTTAACTTGCTTTATTTTCGAACCTTCTCAACTTTCAGGTTCCTTCCCACTTAGTCTAGAGGTAACGCCGTGGCCTTTGCATCCCAAAGTCTGGGGTTCGAGTATGTATTCAATTGAAGAAAAAAATCAGTAAAAATTGAAATGTCAGAAATTCGTTTGTCTGTTCAAGTTTTGCGGGTTAGTTGCCACACCCCATATCTTGCCAGTGCTGTCAGCAAATTTTCGTGGTGTTGCAAGTGAAAGTGTTTTGTTTTGTAATTTCAGTGAGGATGACTTGAAACTTTTCAAATTACTATTTTTCCAAATCATTTTCCCCGGCGCAACAAGTGTCTGCTCAAAGACTGCCGGCTCAGCCACAACATCATGGATTTTTCTTGTGATGTAAGCAATTTTCATTGCAAGTGCAGGTGTTGTTAATTGTATTTTGAGTTGGGACTTAAAACTAAAGATTTTTTATGAAACCATATTCATCGTAAGTTTTGGTTCCCTTGCTAATTAATTAATTACTCAAATAGCTGGCACGTTTGCCTAGAATCAACCTCTATCGAGTCATGAAAAAAAAATGTTGGTAAAACTAATTTTTTGAAACTTTTTTCATTTTTAGACTTCTTATGCTTTATGTTTGTGTTATTTCCCAAGTGGTGATAAGTTGCGCTTTGCCTCTGTATAATATTATGACAACTAGGTGGTGCTCGTTTCTGTCCCTGTAAACTTTCGGTTCCGGTTCTGGGAATTCAGTAACAAAAAAGAAAATAGTTATTTCTCCAAATTTATGATTATATATTCGAGAAAAGTAAAAACAAATTAGAAGCAAGGACGGCCGCTTACTGTGCAAGTAGCACAGAATGTTCCGACCGTAGTCTTAAAAAATTGCTAAAAATTTTTTAAACTCAAATTAGTGTTGTTTTTTCTGCGTGGTGTGATAAAAGGATCTGAATGAAAAACTAAAACTTAGGCTTATTCGACAGTCATTGTAAAATAGGCAAATTAGACCACAGTTTTTATAGAAAAATGACTAGAACAACAAAAGAAAAAGCAAAAGTTGTGACTTTTTGAAACTTTTGATCCCCAAAATGGCGCTGAAAAACTCTAGGCTAGAATTAAGCATCAATAAGCTATTGTAAGCCTACTCACAATAATCAAAAATTTTAAACCTGTTTTTCTCAAAACTGGGAGGACTATTTTAATGTTCTTGACAGAGTTGTTTAATACGATGTTTTACTACCCATATCGCTGAGTACTTTTGTGCTTGGGTTTAAGAGGAAAAACGAAAAAAAAACTGAAACACACCCGACTACAAAGTTCCTACCCATTTTCAATGGTCGGAACAACATTTAGGAAAACCGTCAAATTTGATAACTGGACTGTATAGACAAAGGCAAATAGAACAATCACTGAGAGTCTACAAAAAACTTACGAAGTAAATTTCACACCCAAAACAAAAGTGATTAAAACTTTTTACGAGTAATGATTGCAGTGAAGACTCTTATATAGGTCTTGGCGGTTTTTTTCAGGAAAAAACTCAAAATGCTCTAATAACCACAAATGTGCATTCATACATATTCATGCATTTATGAATGCATTTGGGTAAATATGCACTGTTTGAGTTCAATTGAAATTCATCCGCTTAAATTTACGTAACTAGCCTGTTCCAAATACAAACATGAAAATGTCGCAAAAAAATCGTGAAAAATTTCTAGTTTCGAAAGTGGAGTTTAATATTTTTGCAGTGGAATAAAAAGTTTACCTTTTAATCCAGTCTATTCAAATTGGGTTAATCTTATCAAAAACGCGCCAATCATAAATTGTTTTACAAATTCAAAGAGCTTTGAGAGCATCTTTTTTTTCTAAATTCGAAAGTTGAAACTTTTTCAACAAAGTCAGTGTATTTTTTTTCTATTTACTTGCGTTCATACTCTTTTCCAATTTTCAGTCGGCTATGTTTACACTTGCGAAGCAATATGTTATAGTACGAACTTTCTTTTTTTTCCAACAAATGTCGCAATTTTTTTTGCTACTTCTGTTGCGACTACTATAATTGCTGCAATATTTGCTGCATCGAATTGGCATGACAGCTTATTTGTTGCACCTTAACAGCTTATTGATAACACGTGTTTTGACATTCGAATAGTTATAAATTTACACAGTTGATGCATTTTTAATTCATCAAGTGAACCGAAAAATGCTATTTGTTTCGAACAACACAACAATAATAAAATCTCGATTTCAGAAATTTTCAAACTCAATGTATCTCGCACTTTTTTGAAATGCATAGCTTATACATAATGTGGCTCTATGATTTGCATTTTATTTTAATGCAAAATCTTTTTGTGTTTGGTGCTACTTTTGCTGCATCGAATTGGCAATTTATTAGCATATGTACGTGCGTTATTGGTTGCTAGTTTTTTGGGATTTCAAGCATCCGTGCCTGAATTGTTAGTGCGTGAGACTCAAATTCGCCAGGTCGCAAATTTTTTGCTACTTCCAGTTTTTGCTAAGCTTCGAGTTTTTGCAAAATTGACGCTTATTTCTACTTTTTCTAATGTCACTTGATAGAGCTGCTTTTTGGTCGTCTTCTCGCAAGTGTTTGCGAAGCGCAGCTTCACCTCTGTTCATCTCGAAAACTCCAAAATGTGTGAAAAAGATCCAAAATTAAAATAAACAAAAATAGGTAGTATTGATTGCTGAAGTGGCTTAAAAAACTTCAAAAAATTGTTGTCTGAAAAATCCTGAAAAAATACGA